GAATGTTACTGATTGGATGGTTGGATTTCAGAATGGGATTTTGGTTACAAAACCATTGGATACTTTTGGAGCTGCTTTCACGGGCTAGGATAGCAGAAAACGCAATTGCGGTGGTTAAATATTCAAAACTTTCTCTGGGAGGGTGAGGCCCCCATAACCCGCGACGATTGATTGGTTGTTTGGAATTCGGGTCAGCCAGGTAGGCTATATTGGACCGAATTGAAGTTGCTGTATTCACAGGCTGGAATAACAGGAAAAAGCGTTTGCGGCAGTTTTTTTCCCAACGGTTGATCTTTTGATTGGAATTCGGGTCAGCCATTGTCATTAGGCTATATTAGACCACATTGAAGTTGCTTGTTCACGGGCTGAAATAGCAGGAAAACGTCAAATATTCCAAAATTTTCTGGGGGGGGGCATACAAGGTAAGCTCCGCTTCTTCGCCTCTCGAGGAAGACCGACACCGAAATATTTTCGGGCATTTCGGGTTCTGCCCCCCTAACTGTCATCGAGCCCATACGCCTATGATAATTATGAAACAGTCAATGCGCGTCTTTTTGGTTATATTTCAGTTCTACAAAAATTAGTTGTTACTGGATTTATAATAACTGAAACGTTTTGTAACCACCATGTTAGAAATGGCAAATGCATAAGGACACTAAACACGAATGGCATAGCAATAATGGCACATTTTCCTATTAAATTTGACACGAGAACCGTTACAATATATACGTCATTGGTTACAATCCACTAACTTAGAAATTAAATCGCCGAGTTTTAGTCAAAATTTTAATCTAGTTCTTAACTTCTTATTTTTAAAAGTCCAACGAGTAAAGAATAATATTTTTTACATGGCTTCATTGATAAATAAGTGAATGAATATTGTCACGTGAATGTCTATTTTGGGCGACTGTTTGCTGCTTACAGTGCACGAGCGAGCCCGTGAGAGCACTTTTCTCATAATCGAAGTTTTGATCCGCGTGACAACATGCTGTTAAAACAGGTCAGTTTATATAGTACAGATAATAGAAGCTGTGGGCCACTCTACCATAACCCAAGAAGTTGCGGTCTGGTACAGATCAAAACCAAACTACTCCAAAATCTTTGTTTATTATCATAAATCGCAAGTTTCATCTGAGGTGACCTGAGGAGAGTCCATGGTCTTTATACACGTATTTCACACGGTATGGGCCATGTAGTTAGGTCCGATTCGCACCAAGATCAAACCTATCCGAGAAAGGTAACTGGTGTCCTCAACAAAAGCAATTATTGTCCATCATATCTTGACAGATTATCGTCACCTATATCCATGACAATGTTCTAGACATGCAGTGGATCTTACGGTTTCTGCAATTTTTTTTAAAGCAATACTTTTATACAGGATATCTGAATGAATGGGATTGGGGAACAGGCTTAGCCTATGTCCGTCTTCATTCGCTCAGTTTGCACCGAAAATATAGGACTTTAAACCCTTTTTGAATGATATATAAAACATAACGTCCTGTTGATGAAAAACGTGAACAATTTCAGGTCTAAAATGTTTGATCTTCTATATATTTCGTTTGCACTCAATGACATAGTGGTTTTGAAATGTTTAAAATAGGCTATATATTTTAATGATTATTTATGAAATTAAACAGTATGAGTCAGCGTACACAAAATTTTAATATGATAATGTATTAAGTAATTATGACCTATCATATCGTCGCAATAGATTTGCTCACACGTTTCGACCTGAGAATGTAAATCCCCACTTAGTATACACGTAACGGCGCTGTGTTGTTTTTTCTGTGCCCTCATTTTTCACTGTACTGTCTGGTTATTCCAGGAATTATTTATGTGCAATATATATTTCAATATCCCACTTCAATGTTGGTATTGTAACTGTTAAATTCCAGTGTCTCAAATTTCTTATGTTACGTAGTGTGGGGTTGTTTTTGTTAGTTCGAATACAATGTGTTTTGGACTCGCGCCAATTTACCTTATTGATATTAATAAGCTACCAATCAAATTCAATGTTTTTGAATCCTGGTATATTTAGGGGCTTTTTCGAAATCTCCAATGATTTTATGGATTGATGCCAAGCTTTCTGAGACCCCACCGAAATGCGTGAAGCATTGTAATTTAACCCGAACCTGCAATGAATGTAAAAGTAGCTCAGTAGACGAGGTCCCGGGTTTATTATTTATGAAAGTAGCCAGTAATTGTTATCTATATAAATTTGTTGTATTACCACCTATCAGTTATTAGAATGCCGCTTCAAGATGAACGTTTTGATTAAACAGAGCTAAATCTGTCTATTGCAGGTCTTTCGTTAGGCCTGAAATGTTATCTAAATTATTAATTAGACATTAAACATACATTATGCAAGAGCTAAATCTGATTATTGTTAGTCTTTATTTAGGCTTCAGATGTCATAGTAATTATAAATTTGATCTTTATTTACATAACAAGCACAAAATCAACTCTGTAAACCACGGATGCCTTGGATTCGGCTTGGATTTAAACAGGATTTCATTGATTGATTAAATTTTTAAATGGCGTCGTAAGCGGAGATTAACCGTTACGTTGACGTCATACTCCCGGAAATGTTTAGATTGAAGCTAAATGATAGAGTGTACGGAGCGAGGTCGCTGTTGAGCGAGGCCGCATGTCAGTCAATTTGATTGAAAGTTCGATACGGCCTTGATATTATGTTTAGTTGTGGTTAAAATGAGAGTTTGGATGTCGGTATTATACGCTCAATGTCACTTGCGTTTACAGAAAAATTATGGAAATTGATAAACATGGCAGCTAACATCACCCAGGTTGAAATGCAGCCCCATTGGATCACTGTTTCGTATTTGTCTGCTTCGGGAGTTACGTAGGCCTACCAGTTACAGTACAAGAGTACACGCAGGCTAACAAGAAGTCGGCTATTATGCCTCATTGATTTGGTCCATTCCTTTCAAACCTATCCAGACCATAACCAACACTAGATGGCATTGCTAGCCTGCGATCTTAAGTGGATTATGAGCTGATTTACTGCATAACTTTCCTTCACGATTTAACAATTAAATGGATAATCGAGATTATGCTGTTTATCATACTGACTTTATTAATGATGATCGAGGCTAGACGGAAATTTCAAACACTTAGTTCTCGGATCATAGTGGATCAATTTGAATGAAATTTTCAGCAAATCGCCTTTATATTATCTAGTTTTTAACTATTATAGTGGGAACTGCCAACTCGCTATCGAATCTCCCATAATGTATCTTTAAGTTTGATTATAAAGTGTTTCCAAATGGTAAATATAGAATCTTCTTAGTTCTCCTAAAGACCACATGACCTAACACATCAACCACAACTACCATTATGCAGTGGACCGTGTGCAATACATCGCCTTGTTTTAAAGATACATTGTCCCGAAAGTATTTATCGGGTTTCTATTTCCAATAAAAGTATGGCAAATTTGGTATAATATACTGAGCGCCATTGAAAACGCATCACACTTAGTTTTTCGTATAACAAAACGATCCTGTAAACATATCTTATTTATTTTGCTTCTCATTATGAACAATATTCAAATGGGAACACATCAATAACAACACATTTGTACACTTATGGATGTTTAATCTGTAATCAAGGGTACAAAGTCAGAGGGGTCAAAACCAAAAGTACGACACAGATGTCAGTAGCGCGTGTGTCCTCCAACGGCCACCATCACGGTAGGCTACAGCATTAATGCGACCCCTGCAAATGTGTAGGGCGGTCCGGTGATGAAATGTGAAGCCTCCCCACACCATTACACTTCCCCCACCCCATCGATCCGTTTCGAAGACGCAGCAGTCTGCAAGACGTTCCCCAAGACGTCTCCACACACGTTGACGGCGGCCATCAGCGTGATAAAGATGAAAGCGACTCCCATCACTGAAGAGCACACTTTGCCAGTTTACTCTTCTCCATGTCTGGTGTCCTTGAGCCCATATCAAACGCCGCTGACGGTGATGATCCCTGAGGATAGCTCCAACACAGGGTCGTCGTGCACCGAGTCCTACTTCTCTTAGACGACGTCTTACGGTGTTGGCACTTACTGGTCCTATTCTTCCGACGACTGCTGCACCTGTTCGAGTCGCTGGGCGGAATCTGTCACGCAGATGAGTGACCCGGATGTAGCGGTCTTGAGCCTGGGTTGTAACGCGTTGTGGACCAGGACGTTGACGGTCACGTGTTGATCCAGTAACTCGAACACGTTCCACCAACCTTACAATAGTGGACTGATGACAATTGAAGTGTCTGGCAATAGCACGTGTAGACATGCCAGCCCTGTACATTCCCATGGCATCATTCCGTTGATTTTCAGTAAGTCTCGGCATCTCTAGCTCGATTCCTTCACACGTCCAACAACAAATTACGACAGATTGACGTTTCACAGTTGATATACTGCACATTAAGTTGAACACATGCTTTTAAAGGGCTCACACACAATGTTGCACGTGAATATTGGGTTTTTCATGTGCATCTCGTGCAATTTTTTTTTTTTTGCACACGGGCCGATATTTTTTGTGTTTGGGAGCATTGTGTGAAACAATAGTTCATAGTATTGCATAATATTATACATACAAAACCACCTAGTAATAAAATATTTGGGAAAAAAGTGATGCGTTTTCTATGGCGCTCAGTATATATAGAAAGTATCACTAACTGGCAACCCGACTGTTGTCTGCCAGCTTTTTGTGTGCTAGTTTGTTATTTCTTAATCAAATGGTTAGTCGGTTTTAGGAACATTGAGAGGTCTCAACGTACAAAAGACTCTCCAATCAAACGGTGGAAAAGAAGTTGGCAGAAAATAATTAGGAATTTACTTAGGCGTCAATATGTATGATAAATGGACAGTGTGCTATGAGGAAAATCGTTCCCGGACAGCGTCGCTATGGCCAACTCTTATACCGTATTCCAACTGCCAAGAGATCTTTTACGTTCACGCCAGTTGTAAAAATATAAAACTTAAAGAGAGTGAGCACATTTTTTAAATATTTATTTTAAGGATAGTATGCTAAACTACAAATCAAGCAACAACTTAATAATATATTCATCTACACATTTAAAAGCAACGTTCTTTATTTAAAACTACCGAATATTACCGTGTCAGTATAACACCATAATAAGTCAATTGGGGGTAAAGCGCAATTATTAACAGCTGAATAGAAAGTCCGACAAGCGCAATATTATGTATTGTGGGTTGGGTCTCAGTGAACGAAGTTGTTGTTGTTTATTACAAATTTAACGTTCAATACATTATATATGATAGTATATATAGGTTAATTTAATTAAGATTATTTACATATAAAGTAATAATAAAGAAAACGGTAAAAACATAAAAATGGGCGTGGTTACTGAGCAGCGTGTTACAACCGCAATCACGTATAAACAAAGAGCCAAACAGTGGTCGACAGTAAGTAATATTTATTTTCTCTTTTTGTAGATTTTTTTTTTAATGAAATTCTGGCTTAAAAAATATTTTTTCCGTATCATTATTAATATACGTTTGAGCCCCATCACACCAAACTAGTTCTTACTACGTTCTAGAAAATGTTGGAAAACGGGCTCAACAAACTGTGCCAACAGAGTGAAAGTCATACTGGTTACAACCTATTTAAGAACTTCGTGGAAGGGTTCGGACTGGCTTTGGTGGGAAGGGTGCTATAGAACAAAAAGCCTGTCCAAAATGTTCCCCGCCCTGGAATTAGACGTAGTGACACGGTACTTTAAACGAGATAGACGTACTACGAACAGAATTGCTGTACTATGAACGGAATTGCCGCACTTCTATCCTACTAGGGACGCGTTACAACGTGACGTGATTGGGCATCAATGTTATATAGGACTTCGTTGGCCTTGAGCCATTCCACCATGTCTTCAGATGTGTGCGAGTCTTGGTTTTCTTCAGGGACGTTTGCTGCCCCCACTGCACCTATTGAGGCCAAGGGGGACCCCGGGGATCTTCGGGTAATACTAGTGGCTGCTTTCCAACGGGCAGTCCTTCTGGTATGTCTCTTTAGAGGCATGATTAAACATATGAGGCAACTGTATTAACATAATATTATTTTAATGTCTTGATCTGCACAGCTTGGAGAGTTGAACAGGAATGAGGAACAGTGCGAAGGAGCTAGGTTCGAACACACAATATGAGCTCGTTCGAACATACCAAGAACAAGATGAGGAGTTGAACTGTACCTGAACAGGGTGGTCGGGTTACAGACTAGTTAGAATCAGTTGGGGACTTATGGGAACGAGGAAGAACTAGTTACAAACGGGTTTAGTAGGGACGGTCTTGAACTGTTTGGACATACATTTACCCGAACTGAACTTGACATGAATGATTGTGGACAGGCTACATACTAGTTGGACGTATTGAGAACCGTTTATGAACGAAGTAGGATCATATTATAGAAATTATTTAAACATTCTACCCCGACCACAAGCAGTTTTTCGACTTTCTAGGACGGGGTAACGCGTTTATTGTGAGAACTTGTTTGAACTTGTTTGGTGTGGTGGGGGCTTAAGATAAATAAGATTTATTCTAAAAACGTTGGAGTAATATAGACATTTTCAATCAATTCTTGGTAAATGTGGCCAGAACCCTGGTAGGATAATTCATTAGAATTATTCGGATTCTCCCCTGGAATAGAAGCTGACTGTACTCTGTTTCTTTTCTTTGTTCTAAATAAATAAATTAATTTAAGTCATTGTTCAGTTTGAATATGAAACCACAACAATTTTAAACAATGTTACAATTACAATATCTAAACCCAATCAGCCCAACTGTTGGGTATAGTTATGTTCTTTTCGCCAGCTCACTAACCCTCGGTTAGTTCTGCATTGGTGTGCTCTCATCAGTGATGAAGGCCGGAGGGACTGCTTTGGAAAGCGTCTAGCCGTTCGGATTGTCCGAAAAACCGAGGTCCCATGTACACGTTGGAGTACAAGAAAAAAAAACTCACCACAGAAAGAAATCGACAAAGAATAGATGGACAGGTCTATTCCATTGCACACTGCATGTAGTGTGCCTGTCTTCATTATCTCTGTTTGTGCAGAAAAGTAGGACGTTAAACCCCATATTATTTCATTTCCCTTTGCCAAATCAATCAATAATGGTGCACGTGTAATTTAGAGAGAGAAACAACAACCAGGTCGTCCACTGGAGGTGTGTCAATAGATCCCAGAACTAACAGTTGCTAGTGGTACAGAGACCTTTTACAATGGATAGATTTAACAAACGATTTTCTCTTAGGAGAACATGATTTTAAGCATTTTAAGGCTTGTAGGAGAAGAATCACCTCCCCAGTTTTAGGATAAAATATAGGCTTGAATGATCGAGAATATTCACTAGGTACTCAGTCAATATAATATTATATACCGCTCAATACTGAGAATCGCGAGTTGAAATCCCAGGGAAACTTTATACATGCGCAAGGGACATGGGACGTTAAGACAGCAACACCTTTAGAGCACTCACCTCGACATTTTCAATAAATCGACTATTACGATACCGTGTACAGACTGAGCTATAAGGTAATTATATTACTCGGACGCCCCCCCCCCCCCCAACTGAAACATATCTTGGAGTTATCCCCAGAGCAATTCTAACTTGGGATTTATCCTTTAAGCAATCATAAACACTACAATACAAACCTGTTTCCCTTACAGACGTAGTACATTATAAACCCAAATATAGCCACAATGACAACACAGACAACAACCGAGCTTACAGCTATTATCACCGTGTATGGATTGTTGTCTTCTTCATCCGACTGATCATCTTGTGACTTTCTGGTTGTGGTGATAGTAAAATCTTGTGTCTGTATGGTTGTGGTGGTAGTGGCATCTTGTGTCTCTTTGGTTGTCTCAGTGTCTGATGGAACTGAAGGTAAAACGGTGAAATAATATTATTCTAATTAAAATTCTAATGAAATACATAACAAAATTCTAATTAAATCATAACTATATATGGTAATTAAATCATAACTAAAGTCATAACAAAATCTAACTAAAAGCATAACTAAAATGGTAATCAAATCCTAACTAAAGTCATAACAACATCTAACTAAAAGCATAACTAAAATGGTAATTAAATCATAACTAAAGTCATAACAAAATCTAACTAAAAGCAAGAAAACCAATCTGTCATACCTGAACAGCTAGATACGTCGATAGAACCAATATATTGTGTTGTCCAACCAGAAGGACATTGTTTACATTCAACAGTTCCTCGTTCATCCTGATAATAACCATGCTTACAGTCTATACACTGATTACCATTTTCATAGGTTCCTTCTGTACACACACCTGTACAAAAATATCAAAACGTTTAAGAAAACACACCATAATAGCAGGATCAAAAACACGATTTCTAAATATTGTACTGTATAATCATCCTCAGTTATAAATTTCTAAATATTAACTATATTCTAATAACATACAATGAGTAGGCGATACGAAAAGACGTTTTTCATATAAATGAATTCACTCGATTGACGAAATATAGTCTTGTTTTATCATGCTGTAAATTTATTTATAAAATATGTACAGTGACCCCACAGCTGTTGGTTTCGAATCAATCTAGAAGACATGAAAGAGACAAATATATTTACCACACACACCAGCTTGTCCAACAGCTCCAGGTTGACATATTGTTTTACCATTAACATTTACAGATGTAGCTTTATAAACAACATCATTTACCGTCACTGTAAAATTCTCTGTTTGATTCTGTAACATCTGACCTGATAATTCTAATATTTTTATAGCTTCTACTGTAGCTTTTAACTGTGGACTAACTGAATATATATCAATATATGGCATTATTCAATACTTCTATAGCTTCCAACTATGGATTAATTGAATACAGAACAAAATATGACAATACTGAATATGGCATCTAGTTTACTTTTTAGCTGTGGACCAACTGAAGATAAAACAAAATAGGAGATATTCATTATTTATATGACATCTCTCTGATAAGCTGCGAGATCGAGCTTACCTTGCAGCATATATGTAGTTAATATAACAGTATTAATACTATACTTACCGGTACCATTTGTCTGATAAGTTATTAAATCTAGATCATCTTGTATATATTTAGTAAATATAATAGTACCAACAGTATACTTACAGCTAACATTTGTCTAAGGTGCAAGATTGAGATCAGTGTGATACATGTATATATATTTCGTTAATTCAACAATATACTTACTGGTACGATTTGTCTGATAAGCGGCCAGACCGAGATCATCTTCTGGCAAATCTTTGGTTAATAGAATGGTAACAGCAGTATCAGCATCTCGTTTTCTTCTATTTCCTGGAATACATTCTGGTACTTGAACTTCATATTGACATGTATTACTTCCACCACAAGTATTTTCACGAACTTTATTGGATATCTGATTTTTGAATGCCTCACTATTTTCGCATATCGCTGGAGATGGGAAGTTAACCGTTGTTTGTATTTGGAGGGATCTAGACGATTCCACCTCTGAAAATACAAAGATATAAATTATGTTTCACAAAACTGAAAATATGGTACTAGGCCGGATGGTTGATAACTAGTAAAAGATAAATATGATTTTACTGTAGTGTAAAGCTTAAAAAATTTAATATCTCTATACATATTTGTATTTAACTAGTAAACCTAAATATACTGGATGGTCGACCCATATCTTAATATGCAAAAGTATGTTATTTTATCATAAATATTTTCTAGAATATAATTACGAAACTATCCATAACTTGTATTTATCTAATTAATATAAACTCCTAACTTCTGATTTATTATCTTTGGAAAATATATATCATCTTATGTTTGGCACATTCGGAAATTAAGCCAATTAGTTCTAAACTCGGGAGCTACGTTGGCTCAGTGGGTCAGGCGTTGGCTTGCTAATCTGGAAGTCGCGTGTTCGATCCCTGAATCTGAATTTTCTCGCGTGGTTTCCCTTTTTCAGTGGTGCAGGACTGAGGGCTTGGCAATGGATAACGTATAGTCGGAGCAGAACAGCAGGACCTTAAACCCTATTTCATTTCATTTCAGTTCTAAACTCAATATAGCAGTATGCATAGATATAGATAGGCAATATGTACAGAAAATATTATGTACTGGACAATGTCCCAAAATAGATGGATGTTCTGTATTGTCAGCACTACGATAACATCTACCTGTACATGGCAATAATTTCCTCCCTGGACTCCAGACTCCATCAAAACAGGTGTAATTCAGAGTTTCATCTCCATTATAAACCGTTCCTGATCTGCAAATCATATTACATTTCAGTCTTGATGTGGTTCCAGTACATTGAGCACTGGAGCCATAAGCTCTTGATAAATCTGTAGCCTTACACTCTAGAATATATAATATGTATATTTGATTTAACACTAACACTATTTAAGATTTGGTAATATTATAGAACACATGTACATTTCCATTTACACCGAAACTATAATATATTCAAAGAGCAGTATCCGAAGTCTGGGTTATCTTTTTATAAAAGACCATAATTATGTATAGAAAACGCGATAATGCCCTAGGCCTTTAATAGATCAAATATAATATCATATCATGAGCATTTCTATATAGATCGTGAGCTAACAACACGTAACATATAACGCCATATCGGGAGCTTTAAACTATAGATCGGGAGTAATAACCCGTCACATATAACATCATATTAGGAGGTATACATTATAGAAGTGCATGTAATAACACGTCACGTATAACATCAGATTAAGAGGTATACATTCTAGAACTAATTGCACGTCACATATATAACATCATAATCAGGAGCTATACATTATAGAAGTAATGACACGTCACAGTATCATATCAGGAGCTATACATTATAGAAGTAATAACACGTCACATAAAACATCGTATCAGGAGCAACACATTATAGAAGTAATAACACGTCACATAAAACATCATATCAGGCCCTAGAAATGGTTGCACTACTGATGTCTTCCGCCTTACTCTAACCACAGTAGTGGCTCGTCCTACAGAGTTCCTTTGCGCAAGTTTTTTTTAGTCAAATGACTACAAAAAGATTACTGGCCTATAGCTCCCTTAATTTATACATAAACTGACCCAAAACAGTACTGCACATAGCTTAACATATAATAAATCAATTCCCATTGAAATAAAGGTGAAGCCTTACCGCATAATTATATGATTTGATGAAACCCAACTGCTACGCGAAATTTCAACTGGCCGGTGCCATGGCGGCTTGCTTAATACGTCATTACAAGAAACATCGCTATGCAAATGTAGAACGCCAGTCTTCACTATTTGTCATAGAATTACTTTTTCCAATACAAGCTGTAATGATATGTGTTGACAAGTGTGCGTTTGAACACAGTTTAACGTTACAAGTATAGTAACTAATGAGGCCCTATACACTCTAAAAGTAAAACACGCTATATTTAGACTTACCAGGACATTTATCAGTATTACACGGTTTAACTTCTGTATCATCACCTTGACATAGTTCACCATCCTCATCAGGTGAAGGATTATCACATAATCTATGTCTAGATGATGAACCTCCACCACACGTAGTACTACATTCACTCCAATCTGTATAATTTCCCCATCCTCCATTTACTGGTTAACAAAGTTTAATTCATGAATTATAAATTCATCTTCCGTAGGAAATTATTTACAAAAAATATAAATGCACAGTTTAACGTTATAGTAATGGAAGTTTATCCGAACCTAAAGTTAAAGACTAATGTATTGGTATGAAGACCTGTGTATTATGATGATTTGTGAGAATGAGTGTATGGAAATGTTCCTGGTTTTATTTGGTGCTTATAATCAAATTGGAATTCGATTGCCTAATATAAATAGAATTCTTCCTAGAACACTGTTATGATAAAACGTTGGTTAGATCACAACAATGATTACAACCCTGTCAGGATAAACCAATCTAATTAAAATACAGATCTCTATATCGTTTCGTTTTTTATACTTTCGATGGCCTCTTCTACATGAAGATCTGACCAGTTGTAAAGGGATGTGGCGTCAGAGGTCACACGAGCAGCCTTTGACCCAATCAGCGTTAATGTTTCTAGTGGGTCACCCACAGTTCCATGCAACGCATGCCAAAAAATCGCCGTAACAGACCGTTTCATTTGGCAGATCCTAGTGTAGTAAAGACAAGCAAAACGAAATTTTGAACTATAAAACGAAACGAAATAGGATCTATGTTTTAATCAGATTGAGTATAAACAAATGACTAGCAAAAAATGAAAAATTGTAATCTAACTTTAATTAGATTGATGTTGATGTAAAATAATCAGATAAAAAAAATCATCGTCTGAAAACATCTCGTTCCCAAACTAGAATGCGGGAGCCGTGGTGGCCCAGTGAGTATGACGTTTGTTCGTTAACCTGAAGATCCCGTGTTCGATCCCTATGTTGATCAACAACGTTTATAGGGATTTTCCGGAGTGATTCCCACTTGTCAGTGGTGCATGACTGATGGGACAATGTTTCTGGCGGGTAAGATATAAAAAGTTATAAGTTGATATCACAGGGGGGTTTAAATGACGATTGAAATAAACTTACCAATAGTGACATCACAAAGTGTTCCCTTGTATCCTTTAGGACAAGTACATGTAAATGATTTATTGGTAGAAATACTGTTACATGTAGCACCATTATTACAACCATTTGATAAACAATAATCAGGTGGTATATTACATAGATCACCAGTATATCCATCAGAACATTTACATTTAAATCCTGATAATTCATTTATACAAACATGTTGACCACAAGGTGATGATAAACATTCATCTACAGCTGTAATAAGTTAAAATAGATACATCATTATACCCTTGGGTATCTGTTTCTATCAGATTTAGCTCTTGCATAATGCATGTTTAAATTAGTTTTATTAATTCATTGTATTATTGTTGGTACAATTCACCACGTTTAGAAGGCATTAGTTTATGTTATATTTTTGTATGTAATTTATACCCAGATTCACAATTAAAAGACATGACTTAAATTAGTTATAATATAGTTATTATTTCTTTGTATTTATGGTCAGTACAAACCATTACACAGGGAACTCTTAAGTTTTTATTATATGCTTGTACATAGCATGTACTTACCATCACAAGTAGAAGGCATGGCAATATTTAAATTAGTTTTATTATCTGTTGTCATACTGTTTAAGGAGGTAAGAACCGTCCCTGGTGTTGTCATTTCACATGTCTGAGAACTATTTCCAACAGCGGCATCATCAAATACAATATCACTTAAATCGGCTCGTCTGATTGTCACTTCTGTAAAAAAAAAAACCCAATAAATTTTAATAATGCGGCAAGAGTCATAATCGTTATGCGAGGAAATACATTTTTGAGGATGGGTCACCAATCTTTCACAACTTTTACACGACACCTTTGAAACCATCTTGGAATGCACATGGCACTACGACATCATTGGGTCCATGTCCGTCACACCAAAGCCGTATACATAAAGTTGCGACAACTGTGAAGCAAGAAATTCCAAACGACATACTGAGATGCCAGCGGATGATTGAAATAAAATTATACCATATTATTAGGTTAGTCACGAAATGGCGTAGTTTGCGTCGAGTTGACGGTAAACTCCATTTCTTTCTCTGCGGTAAACACAATTTAGCAAGTAGCAAAAATTTCCTATGCTACGAGTCCCGCGCTAAATGCATGCATGAATCGGTGATTCGGCATTTGTTATATTATTACTATAGTACAGCACCTATGACAGGGCTGGGGTTTTCAAGTTTAGCGATTTTAGCCAATTACTAACCGTTTCCCTCTGTTAGATCTATCTCCATTGAAGCATTTTTCAAGAGATCTGATTCTAGAGAAGACACTGTTTTTGTAGATACTAATTGACCACCAAGATACACTTTTAAACTTTTGCTGGGGTTTAACCATGTTAGAGCGAAGTTGGTCCAAACACTATTTCTGGTCTGAGAGGTGACGGCAACACTATGTACATACAAAATAAAGAAGGAATTTAATTTTAAAACTGATAAATACTTTGAATGTACCTGTTAGATCAGTTAATATACAAAAGTTTCATATATTGCTAAACAAAAACACAACTGTTAAATGTATATGCAAAACACCATAGCACAACGAGGTAGGTAATGGATAGTCTTCATAGGGTATAAATAATATAAATGTAAAATTCCACCTAATTTTTGGGGAGTTAAGGGAAATCTCCACCAATTTATCTATAACATAATTTGGAGAATACCATGTAAAAGAAATGGCGAGATCCAAATAATTTGACAAATCACTTTCCTTTGAGCTTTGAGCAGAGTATTTTTCAGGGAACTATAGAAACCGGGCGAACGGACAGTACTAATACACCAAACACTAAATACATCAGTAACAGTAGTTCCTTTCAGAGAATGTCTATGTATGTTAAAAAAACCCCAGAGCCACTAGACTTACCCTTTAATATAGACACTGATCTCACTAGCGAAATTAACGAGAACTGCAGAACGTTCTTCCTTTATCAGACTGATAGTGAAATTAGAGTTAATTGATTTATAATTGAACCAAACAGAAAGGGCTAAATTGTTCATATCAGATTCTAGTGGCTTACTGGTTAACTTTATTGGTCCAGTTAATACCATATCGAAACCTAAAACAAATAAATTAATATCATACATAATACAAGGTATTTAAAAAAATAAATAAAACCTTCAATATTTTATAATATGATGTTTAGAGATGGGTTATATATCAAATTGTAACATCGCTATTCCCTGTCCTCTACAGTAGTAGAATCTGGGAGAGATTGATATAATTATTATAAGATACCATTTAAACTATCCTATTTGAAATAATTGGTTATGTATTTTATAACTGTTAAAAATGTAGATACTATAAATGTTTTCATTCACAAACCTTTACAGGCTGTTAGAGATGTTGATCCTATTGAACTTGATGTGTCTGCCGGACATTTCTTACAAGTTTGACTGTTTTCTGTATCTTGATACGATCCTATCTGACATGGTGAACATGGCATTAATCCAGTTGGGGAACTCTCACCAATACCACAAATAGCTAATAAAACGTAACATATCTTCATAAAATAAACATTAAACTGTTATCTCATACAATATAATATTAATAGCTAGTAAAACATAACATAACTTCATTATATTAAAGGGAGTAGGGGAGATTAGATAAAGCGTTGACAGTTCTCGCTATAATATACTATTCAAAAAAAGTAGGGGATATTTGATTTTTAAGTGTTATTAAAGTCACCTAATGAAACTGACGAAGAAACAAATGACAAAATGAAATGAAGTTCACATTCATCGATTTATTCCAAATGATCGTTAGACTAAGTAAGGCACAGACTGACCATTATAAGGGTAAAATGATACCCGGGGTCAAACAGCAAAGTTACCACAGCATCACAACCAAGTCAGTAACGGGTAAATCCTCCTCTGTTTGCCAAACAAGCATTGATCCGACGTGGCATACTCCTAATGAGACGTCTAAGGTCATTTTGGTCCAGATTGTCCCATTCCTGTTGCAACGCAGCAGCAAGTTCTTGGACATTGGCAGGACGTTGTTGACGTTGACGTAACCTCTGTCCAAGCATGTCCCAGACATGCTCGATGGGGGAGAGGTCGGGACTCAGTGCTGGCCAAGGTAATGTGGTGATGTTCTGTTGTTGGAGGTAACCTGTAACGATCCTGGCCCTGTGACATCTTGCGTTGTCATCCTGGAAAATGAAACGGCGGCCATGACGTCGTGCGAACGGCACAACATGGACTGCCAAGATGTTGTCCCGGTAGTACTGGCCTGTAACACACCCTGCAACAACATGTAAAGCCGTTCTTCCAGCAACAGTGATGCCTCCCCACACCATAACAGAACCACCCCCAAACGATCATGTCTGATGACGTTAACGTCTTGGAAGCGCTCGTTTCGACGACGCCACACCCTCCTACGTCTGTCCAAAAAATCAACAGTGAACCTTGACTCATCTGAAAACATCACATTGCTCCAGCGTCGATTATCCCAGTGTTGACGATCCCTACACCAAGACGTCTTGCCTGAATGTGATGATCTCTCAAACAAGGGATCACGCGAGGACGTCGGGCGCGAAAGTGACCCCTATGCAGTCGATTCCGAATCGTCTGGCCACTCACTCTCACACCAGTGTCTGTTTGAAGACGAGCGCTGATCTGATTTGCTGTGATGACACGATTTCTCAAGGCCAAGGTACGGATAAATCGATCCTGGGCTTGAGTTGTCGCCCTTGGTCGACCTGAGCGTGGTCTGTCCTGTACGGATTGTGTATCACGGTATCTGGACCATAGCCGCTTATGACAGACTGAGAAACATTCATCGTCCGCGCCACAACCGCCTGTGTTGTGCCGATCTGTAGCATGCCAAGGGCACGTAACCTTTCATTTTGGGTAAGCCGACGCATATCAAAATTTGTTTTCTGGTCACTAAAACAATTAAACTGATGTTTCCACCCTGGAATTCAATGCCACAATGACTGTAACATTCAAAGTCAGAGTCGTGCAAATCTTGGGTTGGACCCCCATGATGATCCCAAGCATCACCTGCATTCCATGCGGTAGCTATTGGTGCGTTTGGGCGTCACATGTAACTGGAAATGTTTATTCTGTTAGGTTCTATAGTGACTTTTTTCGTAGTCATTTGCATATTTTAGTATTATGCCCCCAAAATCAAATATCCCCTACTTTTTTTGAATAGTATAGTTACAAATCGTAAATAGTATATGCTGAAAATTTCAGTCAGATTGCTCCACCCTGAACCAGCCTGAACCGAGATATTAGCTTTTGAATTTTAGGCTAGCCTCGATCATCATTACTAAAGTCGGTACGATAAAAACAGTCTCTATTATCCATTTTTACGTTTAATCATTTTTCAGAAAATGTATTCCAGACCGCTAAATATGGCAGGCTAGCGATGGCATCGAGTGTTGATTATGGTCTGGATAAGTTAATTTTGACCAATACCGCATATACCTAGTACAACATAACATTTCGTCATTAAGTAAATGTTACCACCTTGAGAAATTACCACATATAGATATACGTAACAGCACACTACCCCAAGGCCTTCGGTTGAAAATCGACATAGTTATTATATATAATAATTACACGAGGAATGGTATCAATATTCACAAGAAAAACAAATCCTAAATACAAGTCAAATGACAGCAAATGGACCCGCAACGTGAGAGGCAGGCCATCGTGACTGCTCGCAAAGGGAGAAGGCCAGATTACAACATGGCCACAACAAGCTTCCACAGTAAGGTATTTTTAAGAGCGGTGACTAATTAAACCCATAGATAAAATGAGCAATATTGTACGACACATAAATCACTGATCAAAACGACTATATCAGCGAGATTGACAGACGTTTCTCAAGTCTAATTTACACATACCTCTGTTAACTGTTACTTAAATTACGTCAAATGGATCTTTTTACCAACCAAAGAGGACCGCAAAGCCCTAATGCATCTTTTAAATTCTAATAACCGCCATTGTAATTTGCAAGACCAAATATATTGTGTCTCGTAAAATATATGTCTATATTATTTGCTCTATATAACATTTTGATTATTAAGATGCGCCAGGTTTTCCTGTAATAAACCACTACTTTACTTACTTACTTGTTGAAAGTAGAATTATACTAATATTCACAAATGGGACATAAGATACGACTGGCATTACCCATACTCTGGGCATTTATGTTTATCAAAGAATGGACTAAAGAACTGACACAGGGGTAGAAATTACAAATATATTAAAGATACATTGAAGGTTACTTACCTAAACAATTATTTGCGTTACGAGATCCTTCATTTATAGTTGAAGTATTTTTAGGACAAGATTTACAGGACAGAGAAAAGTCTTCATCCTGATAAGTTCCCTTAGGACAATAAGTACAGTTTTTGGTTGTTCTTTCATACATCATTCCAGATGGACATCCACCTGATCAAAGTAATTCAATCAATCATAAGCCAATTTCAATGTCAAGGTTTCTCGCATATCAATGCCTACAACTACACCTGCATCATTAAAAACAGTTCATAATCAATTTTGTTATTTTTCTAAGGGAAATAGAGTAAGTGTTTTTCAGATTACTAATACTTACGACACGAAACTGATGCATAGTTGGAAATCTGTCCCTCTGGACATTCAAAATCTTCCCAATCAAAATTCACAGAATCATTTCTTATTGTGAACCCCGGTGCAACGCTACTAAAAACACCATTTACAACATCACGTTTAATACCATCGGCAATACTGTTAAGTTTGGCTGCACTAATATCCCTGGCATTTTCTTTAGATGTCCCATCAACAGAAAATGGTATAGCAATTTTGAAAGTTAGCAATAACTGATTGGCCTCTCTCTTATACCTATGATTTTCTACATTCTGAAACGACACAATGTTAATTATGACCAGGGAGACATTATTCTCATTTGTATCATCTCCCAGCTTTGTTATAGGCGTAATATGATTTCATTTAATATTAATTCTGCTATTGTTTGACTTCTTCGCCATTTAGATGATTATTACAGCTTTTTGTAAATGAAAATGTATTCATCATTTAGACACACACTTTATAATGGGGGACATTGAAATGCAAATAACTATGCAGGTTGCGATATGATAAATAGTCATGGTCACAGATGAAGAACTTATCGCCCCAACAGAACCAATGAGCTGCACATGCGACACGCAATAGCGCGATACACGTGGGAGGGGTTCATTGTCAAATTTGACACTTCAAGGAAGGGTTGATGAAAACTGCCGCGTGCTGGTTTATCCTATCTATGTTTGCTTTCCTATCGATTCTTGCATACGATTTACTGTTTAGCGAATCTTTGCTTTAGTGTGTTACGTTTAATTTGATCGGGAGACGTGTTCGTCCACGTCAATGTCAACAGACAACACTGCAAGAATTGGCCGTGGCACTGCAAGAGGAGTGGGCCAGATTGCCCCAATCGTGATTGGACGGTTGATTAGCAGCATGCCACGACGAATTGCTGAATGTCTGAGGATTGGTGGACCAATTACTCATTATTAAGACAAAAATCAAAAACGTCCATTTGCACTTTTGACAGTGTATCTCTTTGCGAGTGAAATGGGACCGTCAGATAAGCCGCCCATATGAACTGTTTATGTTCATGTGTAGGCAATTGGCCTGTTATTAACATACACTAGTTACCTCTAATAAAACCAGCAGTGCATTTCCGCAGTTTTGTATTGTTTCTGAATATCCCCTACTTTTTTTGAAGAGTATAGGACCGTTATGCCAGAGGAGACGAATCGTTCGAGAACATTATTCAAATGAGTAACTTATATTTGGTTCGTGGGTGAGCAAAATATAATATGAGTGATAATCATTAGTATGTTACATTATTACAAACTATTTAATTTATAATATATTACCCTAAGTAAAATCGAAACAGATAAGTAAATAACTAATACACCTTAAAATAAGTGATTTAGACTACAACCGTTCTTTTTTGTTGAAAAAACCTTTTACCAGAGAGTTGTATAATCTCAGCCAATGATCAAAATATAATTATGAAAGAGCTGGATTTATCTATTCTCGGCTGATATAAAATAGGTGGCATAATGAATACGGGGAACCAATTAGATACGTAGCCGATGTGATTACTCTATATGCTCCTGCGTAGGAACCGAAATATAGTGCAAGAGCATCGTGTTATTTATGATGTTTAAGTGAATTTATATAGCTAACAGATTTAAGTTTCATTACCCTTTTCTTTCGGCCAGATGTAGGACCGCATGTAACAACTACATTTTCTACTGTACAATCCTCTGGAACAGGACAAGCTTGTGTCCATATAGGTGAGTTTTGTAGTGCTTGAATAAAATTGTTCTTAATAACATCAGTGCTTGTTGTACAGTCTCCATCAAAATAATAAAACTCAGAAGGAAGAACCATTCTCCCGGGTCGTCTGGCTTCTGTGAATTTAAGATGTACATTATAAATATTTGGTACGTTAATGATGCGGATAAAGCATTCAATGATTTTGGGGGATGTAAATTTTTCTTCGAGCAAAATTTTACGTCCTTAGATAAATCTAATGCCTTGATATAATTGGTTATGTGTTCCGGTACACCCACACCCCTACTCCCCACCGCCTAAATGGAAATTATTCCAAAATTCTTACACAAGCAAAAGTATATATTTTTGACTTATTATGTTATATATCTACATATGTAAAAATATTTATCTTACCTGTACAATCAGGAACGTTATCTGTGGGAGACCACGTTCCTGTCTGCCATCCGCAAATAAAACGGTTATTTGCGCTCATAGTTCTTGGTATATCGAAATTTGAATTACACATCATATTACAAAATGTACCAGAAGTCCAACCATCACAGGCTAATGCACCATTCAATGGAGCCGTTAAATTTCTACACGGTAAAGCTGTAAATGTTTAATAAAAGTAATTTTTGGCGCCAGGCAGGGTAAGCTTACTCTTCCGGACACCTGTTACCACTGTTTGTCGTGTATTTTGTACACGGTGAACAGTCCATATACTGATTTCACTATTTTGCTTTATTACACTATTTTGCCTATACCGTTTTTTTGGGACTTCGAATTTTGTCTAATGGTTTGGATTGTTCGTACTTATTTTATTTTATTTCAGTATATCCAATTGTTAAAATCCGCTAACAATAGCCTCCATATTGGATTCAAGATGGCCATCGGTATTTATACGTTCATTTGTAACTTTAAAAAACTATATCCGACTTCATACACTGTTAAAATTCACATACATTACTGCCATACGGCTCTTCCGATATTACGTCGAGAATTAGAATAAACAACTCTTCCACGATTTTATTTCTGCATGTGTATAGACTGAATACATTTTGACATAATAATACATATATAATATGCAACCGCAAAGTGTGGAAAGTCCAATTTCTAAATTAACTAGGCCTACCTCTACAAAATAGTTCACATACATTACTGCCATACGGCTCTTCCGATATTACGTCGAGAATTAGAATAACCAACTCTTCACGATTTTATTTCTGCATATGTATAGACTAAATACAATTTGACCTAATTATATAATATGCAACCGCAAAGTGTGGAAAGTCCAATTTCTAAATTAACTAGGCCTACCTCTACAAAATGGCTGAGTATCAAGGCTAAAATCCCACGATGTTTTAGGTGGATCTGAATCATCTTTTTCACATGTTATTTTGTTTGGTCCGACTAAAGGTAACCCAGATCTACAACCGATGGAACATTGTGATCCCAATGTATAACCGGTAGGACACGTGATTTCCATATTATCATCATTGTAGTCAGGAATCTCGCACATTAAGACTAAAAGAAGCGATAAAAATCAGAAAAAAGGCGAATGTAAATAATTAATTGTAAGCTATAAAAGATTTATTTAGCATTTATTTAATGTTTATTTCTTTTCATTTTTGATAAATGCAGATCATAAAACGAATTGATGAAATATCTTCTGGCTTGAATAGAGATTTTATAGGCCTATGGGTTACGAATCTAGGAAATGCGTACTCGCTGGTCGTTCATGTGTATACAGTACAGTGTTTTCTTTGTCGTATGTTTGATATAAATATATATATATATGTGCAATATTTTAATTGAACCCTCTTTAAATAAAATATAATTTAGAATACTTATACATTGAATCAGCATTCAAGTCTGCAGCCCTAATGTCCACGTATTAATCCGATCCTAGGTTCGAATCAGAATCCTCACTGCAAATCACATTCAAATTATCTTATATAATATGTAAACTTCCTTTAATCAAAAAATGTATTTAAATTTAATTATCTCTGATACAAAATTTAATAATTCTAAAATAATCTTACCTTGAACTGATACAGAAAAGAAACAATAAGCTCTATTTCTATCATTATCTATAGCATGAAATTCAATGACATGCGCGCCTTCTTCAAAACGTGACCCAGAAGGTAAGCCTTGCACTAGTGTTAGAGTTGCCGTTCCTGAATTATCTGTAGCAGTTAGCGGTGGATACGTGACTGCTGCTGATGTTAAACCTGGATCTGCGTAAACCGTGATGGTGTTACCAGGACAGTTATCAAATACAGGTGCTGTATCATCTGTTAAAAAGAAATATTCAGTACTTTAGATAATAATTTGAAGTGCATTCGTTGTTAATGATAAAAAACATGTTAGAATAATATCAGTATTCTAGAACATCAAATTGTTGTATTGTTGGTGTACTATTAGATACCCTTATATAAATACTAGAAGATTAGTTCACATTGTGCACGACTTCTCGAAAGGAAGCATTACATTATTTTAATAAACTATAACACATACTTGAAAACGTTGAGAGAATACTCTTCGAAATGTCGCCTAAATAAATCTTCCATAAATATATGTTATAGTTTGTTGCTCTATCCAGTTACTAAATGCCTCTAACAGATCATTAGGCCCTACATTATTTCACTTTGTATGCAAGCGAGCAATCTTTAGATCTGGCCTATTAATCATCACAAAGGACCTTATTTGAGCTCTACCTTCACATTGTGGTAGAGGTTCTCTCCAAGTACCCGACTCTGTACATGTTGTATATGACGCTAATGTTGCACGGTAACCATATTTGCATGTAGTACGGCATACACTTTTATAATTTCTACCATCAGAGCAGTCGTATTCATTCCCATTTGTCGGAGAAGTTAGTACTGGACATATCTTAGCTGAAAGTAAACAATTAACATTAATTAGTTTGTATGGATAGTGCGACATGTATTGGTTTACTCTGACACGACCAAAGCACAAGAAAAATGATTGTTTCGCCTACTCTGACAATGGGTCGTTCCCGTTCCACCGGAATGATTTTAGTTGTCTTCCCGACGTACTACCACTGACATCTTCTGAGCGAACCCCAAGTTGTATATCCGAACCTGGAACATAATTGCTGATAACCCAGTTCCGTTATAACTGGATGGCAGTGTCCGTATGAAAGGATGAATGTGAATCGCCCTTTTGTAACAATGGGAGTGGTCGTGGTCTTTATCCAGATTTGGTAGTTTCTCCATATTGTTTAAGCCCCTTGTACCAATGTCATTTTATAGTAAAATGTAGAATCACAACCGACTAGTATTATATTTATTAAAAGCTATTAGTATGAAGAGGACTTTAAACATACATTATGCAAGAGCTAAATCTGATTATTGCAAGTCTTTATTTAGGCTTCAAATGTCATAGAAATTATAAATTAGATCTTTATTTACACAACAACCACAAAATTAACTCTGTAGACCCACGGATGGCTTGGATTCGGCTTGGATTTAAACAGGATTTCATTGATTGATTAAATTTTTAAATGTCGAGTGGAGTTAACGCCTGTCAATCAAACGATCGGCCATTCTCGGGGACGGTGAAGAGAGAGTTGACTCCTATTTCTAGTCAAAAATTACAATGGTGATAATTTTGTTCAGAATAAAGTAATTTGACTGACATTTTCAATATATTCTTCTTTCATCATCTATTTTTGAACTGTTATAGCAAGTATGGCCAACTCTCTATTAAAATCTCCCATGATATATCTTTAAATAGTTTAGCTGTGCTGTTACTAAGATTAAGAACACGCGTCTAGAACCCAGTCTAACTTGAATCTGTTTCCCAAAATGTACAGTATGGCTATGTATATTTAAAAATAAATTTTTGTATACCTTTACAAGTGGGGACAACATATGTTCCATCCTTTTGACATGTAACAAGCTGGCTACCTTGTAAATCATAACCGGGATCACAACTTATAGTACAGGATTTTCCCCAAATCATTTCTACACCATCACAATCTTTTCTTCCATTTCGTGGCCAGGGGACTGTCGGACACACATGAACTGAATATGATAAATACACATATTTATTCTATTTTCAAACCACATCATAATTATTACCAGATTATACTCTGATGGTAAACGCTCATGAATCACAATAGCTTAGCATTTACAAAATCACAAATGATAAATGTTTTGGTTGGTTATTTAGGGCAGTGAAAAGAGTACATGCAACTAGATATAGGTGAACTTTTTTGAGAAAAGAATACTGCAGGTGAGTTTCTTCAAATCCTGGTAAAATGAGCTATCCAGAAATCTAATAAGACATATCGTTATGATGTAAGTATATATTTCGGCAATTGATTTAGATGCTCCCAACAAGTTTGATTGAACAACATGAAAGTAATATGGCACAACTTGATATCAAATTAGATCGAAATATTTGCAAGAAGTTGTTGACAGAAAGGCGGATATCCAATTATTTGCAAGTAATGCCTGTAAGAAACGTCCAATATATAAATCCGTATTACACGACAATCCAAATAAAACTCACCAGCTACTTCAAACGTAAAGAAACAGTAATCTTTAAATCCTTTTGAGTCTGTTACAGAATACGATATCGTATGATGACCTCGTGGAAAAGAACTACCCGAATCTCCAATTCCATTTATCCATTTAGGACTAGAAAACAAACGAACCAGTTTATCCTTAAAGTCCGGTTGCCAAACCCCATTTTAAGCTTTGACGTAGAAATATAGTCCACGTAATGTTTTTGGTGGATTATACATCTTCAATATGTGTAGATTCATAATCTGGTTGATGCAACCCTGGCACCCTTGGGGAAATTTAAATATTCAATATGGCCGCCATGAGGCATTTTCTAGTTATTTAGAGGGATGAAATATGTGACAGGTTCCCCCGGACCTCTGTTTGAAGACGGGTTCTATAAGAATCCGAACCGCTGAGCTTGGCTAAAGTAATGGCTAATTCCGCTAGTGAGTCAAATGCAAAATGGGGGCCCATTTTGGAGGGAAACTCATTAAGTTCGCTAAAAAGGTGTGTAATTATTGAAATGTAGATTTTCGTTGTCAGTTACTTCATAAAAACATGACACTACTCCTTATCAATGTCACGTACACTCGGGAAACCGAAACCACGCCAGCTGACTCAATGACAGACCTTATGATACAGCGGGCACGTGTTAACCATTTGGCCACCCCCTTCCCGACACGAAGAGTTGATTACGTACCTTATTTGTATATTACAAACTTCGTTTTTTAGCTTTACTCATGTGTACTCACTGCAAATTATTTTGTATCTATCATCTTACATAATATGTCTTGTCAGTGGACTTTGTTATGTTTGGTGGTTTTGTGTTGTGTTGAGCTTAGAAGGTGCTTAGCCAAAACCCATAACCCGTCGTCATTATCCCGGATGGAGTAGAAAAGTAGGATGTTAAACTCCATTTCATTTCATTTCATACTTTCTAAAGCCTTTATTCGTACCTGAATTTGTCACTTATCATGGTGGTTTTAATCTTACAGATTTCAGAAAACCGTATATTGGCCAAGAATATAAAATTATGCCATAAAAACAATACTGAGAACATTCCGCTTGTAGGAATAGTTTTGTTTGAAACTGGACGAATGAGTTACCTTAGCGTTTTTCCTTTTCCATCCTTACCAGTTGGTGTTGACCAGGTAACTACAGAACTTGTTGAACCTTCAGGTGCATAGATAGGTGTTGATGGTGGTGAGCATTGTATACTTGGTGGATGATAAACTGTAATAATTATACATACGAATAATTAATTGTTCGAGCTATACGAAATATTTATAGCGAGCTTTCAGCTTCACCAGTCCAACAGTTTAAATACAAAAATACAAAAGGCATCCAAAAGTCCAAAAACATAGTGACACTGTACTGCACGTGGACAGGATAACGTGACAATAAATATAATGTTATATTTCAAATTTACAGTTGATGCTATTTGGAAAAATAAAAGAGTGGTGTCTCAGGATAATGACTTTGCAAATAATTAATGAATGGGTCTGTATTTTACCAAGATGATTCATGTACGTCTAAACAAAAATCCCAAATAATTTGGTTTGTGTGTTTACAAGATTTCTAATTGCTGGTCATGTGATCATGAAACCAGAGCTATCAACTCAATAAATAACTTAGAATGATTATTTCGCAAATACATGTAGATGCTGTCGAAAATAATCGTTCAAATAATTACCCGAAAACATATCTAATATATTTATATACTACCGTAATACGATATTTATAGTAAAATCCCCAACATAATTCTATGGACAGCGGTGCTCATACCTTCTCCTCCGCCACCACCACCACCACCACCACGGCCACAAAAAATTAAACAAGCGACAATAGCACCCAGGATAAAGCCGAAAAATCTTTTCTGTCTATGAACATATAGATCTGAAATAAAAATTGCTATATTAACAATCACCAAACCAGAAAACAGGATTAAGGGGCAAACTGTTAAAAAGGCATGAATGACCAAACTAATAAAAAAAATTGCAGGACACACCCAGAAAGGAGGTTGTTTAAAGGGTTACGATCTATTGATCTACAACCAGTTGAACTTGAGTTGTGAAAATTTGAGTTGTTGTTATAGATTATTGCCATTGTCCTTATATTTAATGCTAAAATAATCTGATTTATCTAATATAAAAACCAAAACAATGTTATTTATCAATAACAATAGGAAAATAATGCCACATTGCTTGTTTAAATAATTCTTTCCGACACAGTCGTCACAAAAATCAAATAGTGTCAACTCCTCAATTCATAAGTGACATCAGGTAAGGAAGCATAGAGTAAATATAGTTTATAGTCGTATTTACCATCATCACAAGATGTTTCGTACCATCTGTTTTCATAACATCCTTTGCATACAACTGAAGAGTTGTCCATCTTCAGAGCACATTTTGTATTTTGAGGAAATGATACGAAATCATCTTGTAATTCAGTGGTATTTAATCCTGTTGGTATTGTACACCGTTCTATTACAGCTCTGGTAGCTTTCAGTTGACATCCTCGGTCTCTCTGTGTTTTACTCTGAAGATCATTAATCTATTTAAAACAACTTTCATGCAATATAGTTAATCATCGATACCAACAACACATTATACCCATTCATAGCTGACAATAATAACAAAGATACATATTTTCATAGCATTTAGCAATAATAAGCACATATCATTGCAGATATCAATAGCATATCAATAACAGGCATACATATAATCATAGCCGATATCAATATAACAGGAAATGAAATGACCAATGAATACAGCCATCCGCCATACAATATGTAATGAGGGCTATTTTGCACCCCCCCCCCCCCTCTTTAGTTACTGGCCTGGTAGGCGGGTAACTAACCATTCATTTCTAGCGATATGACTAATTGCCAGCGCCACAGACCTTGTCCGTCTATGGTTACCCTATTAGCCTACACCGTTCTCTAATACTCAGATATTGCGTATATTGTATTACCACATCTTCAATAATTTTATTAATTTTTAATCCTGTCACTGGGCTCAACAGCAATACCAGCAAAATGGCTACTTTATACACCGATACAACCATTTCTGAAATAGAATGGATACCTTATCAGTCATACATAAATTGGGACCGATAATTTAGCTGACTACTTATCAATTTGTGTACATAATAGCAACAGTCTTTACATTAAGATTATTCGTATTTTGACTTCTTGTCTTTCGTTTTGATTTAGGTTTAAAGTAAATACTTAGGTTGGTTGAATAGAGCAAGCACTAAACGATTAAATTTTCAATTTTTGGCATTTTCTGATTATAAGTGAGACTATTATGAAGAAACTGTTCAGCGGAAAAGTCGACATCTTGATTTGACATAGTGGTGACCCGATTCCTGGAGATGCAGTGGAGAAGATAACACTTTGAACTAAATACGTTCACAGATCCTCAGCTACTACAACTTTTTCTAATAGCGAGTCGCTGGTAACGGTTATGTGTTATACTGTATTTATTATAAGGTCCATGGTGTTATCAGCTGTGTTATCTTGTATATAACCACTACGTAGGTCTTTCTCTTATATTTGCTTTTTGTTGTGTCAACACTGGTTTAATATATTAACAAAGTAAGGTCGTAAACTAGAAACAAAAACCCCAAAAAACGATTTCTCTGATCGAATCAACATGTAGGATGCAATAAAAGGAACGCTTTCAATTCCAAGAAGCCATTGTCATTCATTGCCTTAGAATTCCGGTTTTCACCTGCAAAACTCCCCCTGTTGTTGTATTTTTGTATAAATTACATTCAGTAATATTTAACGGTGATTTTATGTTTGGTTATATTTGTTTCAGTAATATGAGTTTCAAATTCTCTCGCTCTAAATCACACACAATAATGCATTAATGCTAACTCAATGTTAAATAGGGAAAACTAAGGAGAAACAGTAAGTCATATATAATGCATATTATATAAGACATAATTGGTTAACCACATTCCAACTTTTTTTTTACGACCACGCTGGTCGAAGCAGTCAGGTGTAAGCCTATGCGCCATTTAACATTACCATTGTGTAAATGCAGCAAGAAATGCACCGAGCGCAGATTCTCACTAACATAAAAAGCTAAATAGGTCTAGACCCTAATTTCGTGTATCGTTTCACTTATCATCTATGCATGACTTCAACATACATCTACTTTTATTATTATTTTTTCTAGATTTGTCTATAGAGTAGTGTCCTTTCTAAACTATAAAGCTCTTCAATAATTTAAACATGCATTATGCAAGAGCTAAATCTGCCTATTGCAGGTCTTTCTTTAGGCCTGAAATGTTTTCTAAATTATTAGTTAGACATTAATTAACTTATCCAGGTCATAATCAACTCTCGATGGCATCGGATTTCTCCGATTTGATTTAAGCTAAAAAAATGAAGGAGCGAGATTTAGCTTCGAACAACCAGTGCGGTGGTTGAAATTATTGCACACGTCTTGTCAAACCTTCAAAGGCTAATATCTTCGCTCGCAATAGGGTAATTTGAATGAAATTTTCAAATTATTCATTTTACATTATCTATGTTCGAACTAGTATAGCAAGAATGGCCAAGTCCTTATCTAAATCTTACATAATGTATCTTGTACCTTTCACGAAAACCATTTGATATGTTTTAATGGTGGGGATGCATTTCTTGTAAAGTCTCTGTCTAGTTGTTTGAGTATGACAAATCTTCGACCGCACGTGTACAAACTGACTGTGTACGTAAAAGACCCCCTGTAGTTTGAATTTTAAAAAGTATTCGGGAATATCCTGTCTGGGTGATATTACCCCTCGCATTGCACACGCAATCATAATTATATAGAAATAAAAAAATACCACATTGTAAGTCTTAAAATGGTAGAAATATTGTGTTAACGATTCCGCAATCTTTTTCGTATACACGCCAGCTCATTTTTCAAGAGTTTATTTTATTTCTTATATGAGCTTAAAGATACGTTCCCGCGTACAAACTTTGTGATTTGATGATATATCTGGACTAAAAACGTATTCAAAGTAACCAATCTATCAAAAATTTGCTTCAATTCCCTCTCAAAAATTTGTATTCGCCGGGGATACCCATAGCTATAAGTAAGCTGTTGTTAGACGCAATGTCTGTCAACTTAGCTTCTTAAAGGGGCTCGCTTAAAAATAACAAAGAAATAAAAGTCGATCTTACCATTGAAGTTCTAATGTTTATGGTTGAATAAACAGAGAGGAGACCCACACAAAATCATATAATACATATAGGTAATATTATGTTTCTAAGAAAATAGCCACAAATCAATTCATTGAAATTCTTTTCAATGTATCCAATAAATATCATCAAAGCGTTTAAAGGGGCCATAAATAAAAGCGTTTTTTTTTTACATTTCAAGTTGACGGGACTACCCATCAAAATCCCACATTATGAACCGATGAGTAATTGGAAAACATGTATGGCTTTATATAGATATATGTGCTTACAATTAGGCTAATCGTTGGAACTTTTCCAACAATTTAATATTTCATGAATGTTTTATGGTGAAATTTTCCAGAATGTTCACATACATATTTAAAAAATTGACTGTTTTAGTCAGTATGTAAGTTTAATTACCTGACTGACTAAAGCCCATAAGAATATATAATTTGTTTTAATACCGAATGGGCTGGCTTTGACAAAACGGATGACACAATTATTATTATCATATTTGTCTGAGAGATATGAAGATGGGGTGTGAAATCTTTAGTAACCTATATGTAAACTTAAAGTAGCCATAATCGCAATAATTTCTAGTCCAGTCTTAAATTGGTTGGTTGTGTTTACAGTAAGCGGCATTATATAGATGATTATAGACATATTGCTAGAACTCGTACTTTTAAAAACTGTTAGAATTTCTAAATTAATATGACTCAGTATGATTACTGAACATTGATTAATGACACCAAATTATTCAGAGTAACATGGACTCATGGATTTGAATAATTTTTGGACCACTATAAAAAGTACTTCTTATTGTGCGTCAGGGGGGTTGGTTGGTAAAAATAGTTAACACGTGTGCCTTGGATCAGAAGGTCTGTTATTGAGTCAAATGGCGTGGTTTCGATTCCCCGCTTGTACGTGGCATGGGGTAGGGTCGACTGTCCAACCTCTTGGGTTTTCTCCGGATCCCCCGGTTTACCCCATCTGCTAAAGAGAGAGAGAGAGAGAGAGCGAGAGAGAGAGAGATGGGGTTTAACGTCCACTCGACACAAACTAGGTCATTTCGGGACTAACATATGGTTCAATTTTATTTCCATTATTCCATTTAGCAGTGGGAGGAAACCGGAGGACCCTGAGAAACCCCACGAGGTTGGACAACCGACCTTACTTCTTGTCACGTACAACGGGGGAATCGAAACCACGCCAGTTGACTCAATGACAGACTTTATGATACAGCGCGCACGTTCCGACGTGGTTTCCCCTTGTCAGTGGTACGGGGGGCCTGACAAGGACAGCTGTCTAGTCCTTCGGATGAGACGAAAAACTGAGGTCCCGTGTATACATTAGAATGCACGTAAAAGATCCCTTGGCAGTTGGAATTCGATATAAGAGTAGGCGATAGTGCCGCTGCACGGGCAAAATTTTCCTCATAGCACACTGTATGGCGTATGCCCGTCTTCATTAGCCCAGTATAGGAGCAAAACAGTAGGACGTTAAACCCCATTTCATTTCATTTCATTTCATTTCATTTACAGCGCGCACGTGCTAACCATTCAGCCATCTAACCCCCAAGTGCTAAAGACATGCTAGTCCCGAAATGACCTAGTTTGTGTTGAGTAAGCATCAAAACTCTCTCTCTCTCTTTCTCTCTCGCTCTCTCTTTCTCTCTCTCTCTCTCATATCGTGTGCCTCCTTAGACTCTAATTTATTGGCATGATAAATCGTCTAAATATTATAAAAGGAATAGAGATTTAACATTATAAATTATGTGCAAGATAACATCACCGCTAAAAATTATCGGGCGACAGTTGATTTATCATGTTTCGTCACTGTTTTCACTATCTCTATAAAATACTCGTTTGGAGAGCTTTTCAGTAACCCGGCTATTTCTTATTTTCCGCCATGTTTATCTTCTTTATTTATTATATTATGTCTACTATGTCTATTAAAAATACATTATGGAAGATTTAGATAAAGAGCTAGCCATTCTTGCGTTAATGGTTCTAAAATAGACAATCTAAAATGAATAATTTGAAAATTTCATTCCAATTACTCTATTGTGAGCGAAGATATTAGCCTTTGAAGGTTTGACAAGACCTGTGCAATAAGTCTCGCTCCTCCATTTTTAGCTTAAATCAAAATATGGCTGAACTGTTCTAATCTATTTAATATCCGAGAAATCCGATGCCATCGAAAGTTGATTATGGCCTGGATAAGATAATTAATGTCTTATTAATAATTTGAAAACATTTCAGGACTAAAGAAAGACCTGCAATAGGCAGATTTAGCTCTTGCATAATGTATGTTTATTGTAATATGAAATGTATATAAAGTTATTTATATTCATGTTTTAAAACAAATATTGTAATTTCTAATCAGTTATGCTCGGTGAAATAGGCGAACAGTCCAAATTAAACGGCCACCTTTTACGTCTACGAAGTCCATTCTACACTTTTTTTTATTTATTATTTTGTTGTTTATAAATCAGCCATTAAAAATAACTTCAGCATTATCTTGTAGGATGTTTGTCGTTGTTTATTACAAATGGAGTCCGAAACCACAGGGTACACGACTCATGTACTGATTTTATAATGTTGATTATTTCTTAAATATAGGATATTAGGATCCCATATTTTCACGGCAAGATAACAGCATGGACCAATGAAATGGACCAATATTGAATTTCACGTGTTTTTAATTTCGAATATTATGGACAATATCGAGATTTAACTCCTTTAAAGAATTCGCTTGTGACGTCATCGATACTGCACTAACTTTCAGACTGAAAATTGTAATGTTTTATTAAATGGTCAAATTGTTTATTTTGTCGTTCGAAATTAACAGGTCGTGTTTACAGCAAACAAATTATTGCATGTTGCGATTTCGTCAGTTGCGTTATAAATGAAATCCTTAATCGTTGATTCCTGTAGCTGTTACCGTTATAACTTCATACAAATATGTGTACCACATGCTCTAAGTTTGCATATAAACTTAATACAAAATCATGTATATATAATATTTTCATTGTGCAGTATACATGTTTTGATACCAAAATGAATGAAATTAATAATAAAGTTAAATATGAAACACATCGAGTACGTAAAAATCTTCACTCTGTATATCTTATCTCGAAAACATATATCATAGTCCTTATAAAAATAACGAAATAGCATTGAAATTATACAAACCTGCCTTTAAAATTACATCCTTGTTGAGAAGGGAAATACCCTTATTTTCTCAAGTTTCGTCTAAAATCACAGCACGAATTTTAAACTTGGGTGTTAATGCATACATTTTGATAAATTATATTGGACATGTTTATAACTTCTTGCCGTAGGTACTTAAAATGGCGATCGTTATGCGGTGTACAATATTTGAGCTTGTTATGGGACTCGTTTTTGTTACAACAAGCAGTGCAGTGGTATGTAGAATTCTGTTCTATATAATTTCTGGTAACATTTTTATTTAACAATTTGTCAGTGTATTGTTACATAGAGTAGACATGAATATAATTTGAAATAATGACATATTATGTATATATTATTATATATTGACACCTGTAAAATTAAAACGGTAACATTAATAGATTCTTAACGCCGGGACGCAGACATTACTCATTTTCTAAATGTATACATGTTCATGTGTTACAGCCTTCTACTTTCCAATACGAAATCCTTTTATATCTGTGTACAAATTTAAACAAAGGCGTGTCATTCACAGACAGAAAATTAACCTTGATGCCATGTTTAGCTTGTGAATACGAAATATATAGCTTGTGAATACGAAATGTCGAACAAACATGCAACTCCTTGCAACGGACTACACATAACAGTTTTGCTTGAAATCCGAAACTAGATAAACCATCGATGGCTTCTTTTGGTACCAATGAAATCTTTATAAGGCAAAAGCTCTTGTTGATTTCTGTTTTAGAAAGATTCGTGTCCTCTACAAATTCTAGAGATTAACGGAATTCGTTTAGTCGATTGTTCATCAGAACCTGCAAGTGCAACCAATTCTTACGTGGCCCACGGGATTACATGTAGCGTGACCTGTAAATCGTACTATTCTGATATAACACGGATCCAATGTTTTGAAGGACAATGGCAAGGCTCACCCATACAATGTCCAGGTAATTACAATTCAGATAAAAACATTAATTTGAATTACTTTTAATTGTCGTGGCATACTTTTTATTATATTTTACTATCCTGTCTTTTGTATTTATTTGACATCCCTGATTATCCACAATTTAAGAATTCATTGGGCCATTTCCCAGACATAACTGTTTTCCAACAATATTTTGTTATGAATAGTTTCATTCATTCATTCATTCACTTAAATTTCTTTTTTTCGAGGACGCAACATATTGTTTTATTTTCAGACTATTAAATACTAAAACTTGTGTAAGTAGCGACGTCACTCTATAGTAGTAATGTAGATCGGTAGAAGTTTGTGGATTCTCTGTTTTGGGATCTCATTTGATAACGAGTACATGAGGCCCATGAAATGATTCGGGGGTAGTTATTTGTGTTATTGTCCGTTGTTGATCATATATTCTAATGCAATATCATAACAAAACATCATCAAGTAATTTGTTCTTTGTAAAGTGACTAGTATATATATATAGACTCAATTTAAACGTTTAATTATACATTGAAATATTTATAATGAATTGTATATAGGTCAGGAGTTGGGAATGTTTTATCAATGTGGTGTGATGTTAAAGATGCATTATATAAGATTTAGATAAAGCGCTAGCCGTTCTTGCAGATATTATATTCTAAAATAAATCTTTTGAAATGTCAGTTAAATTACTTTATTCTGAGCCATTTTTTGAATGTTTAATGTTTTGACAAGAACTGGCCTAAACAGTGTCGATTGTCAAGTAAGGTTATCACGATTTATAAACGAAGTCTATGGCATACATCGTATGGTCAATATCTTAGTAGCCATGTTATGTTAATAAATAATAATCGATATATAAAAATTGAAACCAAACAAGGACCTGAAATAAGGTGATTTAGCTCTTACATGTACATATAATCTATAAGTTATCTTAATGATTAACTTAAACATTTTAATATACGATGTTGATAAACACTCGCGCCGATATCTATAGTTTATATTTATTAATTTATAGAATGACAATTCGGGGTGGTTTCCAGAAAATAAAATCTATTGAATGCGCGAGCGGTTTTAAAAATCAAAATATTTTCTAGATATGACGATTTTAATATTTTAAAAGAATATGCAAAAAATCTCAATAATATTTCAAAAAGTTAAAACTTTGTAACTCTACCATGGTGAAGTATTTCCCGGGTTAACGTTTTTTCTTCTAAGATACATGGCCCGACGCACATTGGTCCGGTGCCGTTAATTCGACGAGGGTGTGATGGGGGATCATTACACCGATAGAGTATTTCATGAATACATATGCATATAAATTATCCATGTTTATATATTACGCATGCCACATATTATATATATAAGTTATGTAAATACATGTAGATAATAATGCTTCAACATTATAATTTACTGTCAACATACACTTTAATGAGTTTATATACATTTTTTTATTGTTAGGTTTGGGGTGGGCATTCTTACGTCATAACCGGGGCAATTTTGGTTTCATGGCTTACTCGTTTTAGAACATTAAGGTATCAGACGCTTCCCATTCCATCTTTGAGCTTCGGACAAATACGTGGACCCCGAATTAAAAGAGCTTTCTAGTCAGCTATATCAACTCGTATATACTATACTATATCAAAGTATATTTATAATTGAGGGTTTATACAATATTTATATACATACAGAAAATGAGATATTTGTTTTTAATTTCATTCCTTAGCTGTTATATTTGATTTTATTTATGTATGTAATTATTGAGCTGTGATATTTGTTTAGTTTGTCTTTGGCGCAATATAACACGGTTGGTGCTGACGTGCCAAAAAACATTTCCTTTTAAATCAGTTCATTTACAGAGCTTTCTTTAAAAAGATTTGTGATGTGTGGTTAGTGAAAACGCAATTGCCAAGATGTGATATATCCTTCTTATCTTATGTTGATTATTTCGAAAATGATCTATATATTCTCACTAGTTAAAAACTAGATAATGTAAAGGGAATTTGCAGAAAATTTCAGTCAAATTGATCCACTCTGAACCGAGTATTTAGCGATTGGATTTTGGGCCTAGCCTCGATCATCATTACTAAAGTCGGTACGATAAAATACATACTCTCGAATATCCATTTTTTGATTTAATCATAAATGACCGTAGACAAGCCGATCGGACCCTAATTCAGTACATATCACAGGCTAGCGCTGACATTGAGAGATGATTATGATCTGGATAAGTTAATTAATGTCTAATTAATAATTTATATAACATTTCAGGCCTAAAGAAAGACCTGCAATAGGCTGATTTAGCTCTTGCATAATGTACGTTTAATAAAACCCTTACTTTAATAAGATTTCGTTCAACAGATTTTGAATCGTGGTGTACGTACATTCATAAGGTAAAGCATTATTAAGACAACATGAATGCCTTAGATACTATTACACCCTCCACTTGAGGTAATCTTTTATCTATTAGGGGGATTTCCCCCTCGTTTCCAATCTTTAATTAGATAGTTAATACTTGGAATTTCCAATAACGTATAATAACAGAAATATATGCACGAATTGACGATTTTAAATGATAATATAAAGTATTCTTGGTAAAATTCTGGTTACACCCAAACCTATACAAAATATTTACTTAAGCAGAACAAAGGTATATAGTTACATAAAGGATGGCCTAAAAAAATTTCTAAAATAGTTTAGCTATAATTCATGTATAAAGAAAGGCCCTATTATAGTAAAGATCAGATTTTTCAATCAGTCGGGTAAAGTTAAATAAAGGGAAAAATTCTTTTGGAAAACAACATATTTTATCTTCGAATAAAGTGGTCGAAATCCGTTGAATTTTACATACTAATAAAACACTAATTTTATTTTCGTTTAACTGAATTAGACGAATGTCTACTACGGATTAAAACATTTTGTCTGGAGTCATTTTGCTTTGTGCGGCATTTTTTGTTTATCGAATATATTTTGTTTTCGGAAAATTAAATTGCAGTCCGATTGATTGGTTGGAATTTAGGTCGGCAAAGAGTGGGATTTCTGTTGAAAACGAGTTTACGGCAATCTAATTCTGAAAATTTCTGGGTTATCGTATATAAGGGTGTTTTACAACTTTAAATCCGAATTTATCCGTTTTGTCATTGCCATTAATAGTACGTGCAGGAGGACCGCACTACAGGCAAAACAAAATCTACAAAGTAAGACACAAACTATTAAAATATCCGTGTAATTACGAAGCGTTCTACACCATTGCAATTGCTTACTTTTAACGTAATTTTAGATCCTTGGTGATTGTTCTATTTATCTGTTTAGTCTGACATTTCTCAGTGGTGATATTAAGAAAATAAGGCTATTGGGGATTTTGTTTTTTTGTCTTGTAATATTTGTATTAACTTATAATATAAATGTAATGTCGTATCGGGTTTACATAGATAGGCCAAGTCACATTACAAATATGTTGTACAGACAGCAGTCTAACTGTGATATAATTAGGCCGTGGACTGGAGTGAGTTATTGTTTACTCTCGTGGAAAGGCATTGGGACTGTAATTTTTCTGCACAGATTAATTTAAAAATACACAAAACGAATACTGACATTCCTTCACATCTCCTTTTCCATAAGTGACTGCTTCAAAATATTTTTATAACTTTTAATTATTTTGTTTTCGCGGACTTGGTCTTTTTCACCGCCATATTAATGCGCCGGTGAAGAGGTTAGGACGCGGGATTTCAGCCAATCAGCAAACAGAAAAATCGTCATTACGGGCAGTGATGTAAATATCAACAAAAACGCGTGTTTGATTATTTTTTCATCGTCTTGACTAAGTTTCTCGAAGTATGAAGTGCCTTATTCACCAGACAATCAAGGATCCTGGCAAATTAGTTCAGTTTAGTGATACCAGTTGGAATGCTGTTGTGAACTACGCTTCTCAGTGGCAAAATCTCGACGGAGAAGAGCAGAAAATTGCCGTTTCTTATCGTGATGTGTTTGAAGGTAAAGTAGGCCTAAAGTACATTAATTTATTTTTTTTCTGTCTTTCTTACACTGAAATGAGTGCGGATTCTTTATGTCTATGCATTATTTAAACAGACACATTTTTGGTTTAAACAGTATTTATTTAGCATACATTTGCATACGAAATACAATAAATACTAAATTATATATGGATTCGGAAACAAATATGCCGGTAGTTTATTAATCTGTCTCAGAAAATGGTAATAGTAATAAACAAAATAAAATATAAATGGCATGTTGAATATAAATGTTTAAAGCAATATCTAAGTTTATTTTGATATTGCAGTAGGAGATCTATTTCTTACTGACTAGATGCTGCAAATTTTGAAAACTAGGTCATATGCATTTATTGTTTTTAAAATATAAACTTTATTCAAAGGTGGGCTGTAATTTTTAACTTTTTGTAGGCCCAAAAGAAGATGCATTGAAGGTGTACGGTTATCACTCCAAATGCTATTCTCGCTTCTGTGATAAAGAACGGATCCAGCGTTCAGAAAAGAGAGCCTTGAAAAGGGCAGCACCAGTAGCACCTGAGACCCAACCAGACAGTCCTTCACCAAAAAAGAAATTAAGATCCCATCGACCGTTATCATGTACAGTCACAGCCTTATGAAGTTATGATTAAGAATCAAAAATTCGTTAAGGCCTTCATAAAACTTAGCAGTAGTTTCACTATCGATGACACCCTCATTAACATTTTAGAAGAATTTGTTTGCGATTTGTATGGACAAAAGGTACTAGTGTGGACAATGCTAGATATAAATTATTCTGTTTAAAAACTTCATCTGAACAATCTCTCCCCCCAACTAAAGATGCCTTGATTTTACATATTAAAAGATCTAACTATAAGGCTGCAATCCATAGGCATTCTTTGAACAATGTGATTTCCCCCTCACTCCCATCAGAGCATGGGTGGAATATAACTGATAATGACATATCAATCAAGTGGATGACACCTGATCCAGCGCCAGAGGACATTTTAAAATATGTACATTGCAATTGCAAAACTAACGGTGACTCTAAAAGATGTTCATGTAGACTTGCAGTAGACTTGCAAATCTCCCATGCACTGATCTTTGTGGATGTAGGGATTGCAATAATACTATGCTTACAACAACAGAAATTGATGCTGATGACTTATCAGATGATGATATTGATGAATATTGACATACAATAATAATAAATTACATTTTTTGAGTGCCAAATCCACCCATAAGCATGCTCAGAGTGCTTTTAAGAGCAATATACTGTGTGTGCATACATGACATGTCTTTTCAATTTTAGTAATATTTTATGAACAAATGAGAGTTTAATTGGGATTTACTGTCGTGAATATTTTGAGGTCTTTTACACATCGTATTATGCATTGTTATTGTTATGACTGTTTTTTTTCTTAATTTATCTCCCAGTTAAAAATTGAACTTGTTAATAAATACAAAATTAATAATATTTTTGTCTTATTATTGTGTATTGCCTTTAGAGGGTGTCAATTGCTGTATGTAGCATTGTTTTGCATATCAAACATAGACATGAACAAGTAACCTGCGGTTAGTCGAACATTCTTCGATCTATTTTGGTTTGCAATGCCGGCACTTATTTTGCAAAATGACGAGAAATTAAATTTTAGTATACAGGTCTAATGTACATACAATTATGGCCTTATGGAAATCATAGTTTGAGGACTTACAGGTTGGGGCCACAAAAATCTGTTTTACTCAGTTAAGAATTTGGTCAGATTTAGTGTACCTTGGCAGAAATATAACCACTATTCATTAGATCTAATAGAAAGACTGTCAAGCAATTATCCATCAGAAATTTTCCCCCAATATTCAGATTCAAGCTAGTAAAAGGTGGTCGAAATATGAGTGAATTCTCAGCTCAGTAAAAAAAATGGAAAATAAATAGTGATTTGTAGCTCTGGGCCAGTTGTCACCAGACCTTCCCCCATTATTGAAAACAGCATACATGATTACATGAGAGTACATACATGACTAACATGACGATACATATGATGCAATTTGCACGGAGTTTGAAGCTCAAATTCAACATAAGATATAAGTGTGCCCGATTACCCTGCATCAATTTCGTGCCAATCCTTGATGAAATATCGTTTCCGCAAAGGCCAAACTATCAATAAACACACATAAAACAAGATTAGTACAGTTGACCAGATCGTGGTATTGTTTATAAACAATGATCACGTGACTAATCACGTGACATGATCCAACGATTTTCATTGGACAATTACTTGACCGCGTAGCAGCTTCGTGTTATGACGAGAAAAAATATAATTCTTATTCAGATAATTTTATAAATATTATCCATACTGAATGCCACATGTGAAGGTTGCTAGTTAACATCATTTTTGCTCTATCCATCAATTTAAAACATCGGAAAGGCGGTTCCCGGCCATATAATCGTGCCCAGTCCACGGCCTAAATATGGTTCTTGAATATATCAATACTATCAAATAAAATACAATAAATGTAGATAAAAAATAGTTATGTTATCATCTTATTTTGAAGAAAATGAGCAAAGAGAAACAGTCAAAATATCACGAAGAAAGCGTTCCTGTTCATTTAGTGTATGTAGCCTACCGGCAGCGACTAACTGTAAGTATTGGTAATTTATCAGGGAAATTTTATACTGCTTCAGCTGCGATGGCTCTGTAAGTAAGGTGCTGGCACGCTAATCAGGCGGTCCCGGATTCGATCCCGATATTGGCCGAGAAAAGTTCCTCGGGATATTCCGCGGTGGTGCTCAAAAACCGACGTGTACACGTTGGCGTGCACGTAAATGAAATGAAATGGGGTTTAAGGTCCTACTTTTCTGCTACGACTGGGCTCATGAAGACGGGCATACGTCATACAGTGTGCTACGAGGGAAATTTTGCCCGGGAAGCGGCACTATGGCGTACTCTTATATCGAATTCCAATTGCCGCGGGATCTTTTACGTGCACGCCAATGTGTACACGGGACCTCGGTTTTTCATCCCATCCAAACTATTAGACAGCTGGCCTTGTCAGGCCCTCCGTCCTGCACCACTGACAAGGGGAAACCACGCCGGAAAATCCCGATGAGCGTTCTCGGATCGAACCCGCCTCCTACAAGCTAGCGAGCTGGCGTCTTACTCACTTAGCCACCGTGGCTCCGCACGTAAAAGAACCTTTGAAATTTGGAATAAGAATAGGCCAAATTTCCCTCATAACAAACTTCACGGCGGCGTATGCATTTTTGCATTAGCCCGGATTTTTCAGAAAAGCAGAACGTTAAACTCCAGCTTTGAATGTTATATCTAATATATTATGTTATTTAATCTTGTATTTTAATTGTATTATTTACTGTTAAGATATTCAATCTTGTATTTAAATTTAAGCTGGAAGTGAACCGCATCTTAAATGTCCGGAAGCTATAACTCAGTTTGGGGATCCTTACCAGACACATGCTAAAGTTTTCTGGACCGAGCCTACAGCAACTGACGATAGAGACGGTATAATAACGTGAGTCAACTTTAGATAAAGAATATCCATTTGTTCCTTTCATGTAAACACGTTTAAAATATGGTTTCTTATCTATGTATTTCAGACCAAAAAGGTATGGTTTCGCGCGTTAAAATATGGGTTCTTATCTATTTCAGACCCAAAAGGCATGGTCTCGCTCCCGGTCTACTCTTCTCCGAAGGCATAACTACTGTTGGTTACTCAGCCAGGGACAGAGCTGGAAACATGGCAACTTGTACATTCAGAATCAATATAATTGGTATGTATATACATTTCCTAACATATAGTAGGTATTTATATACATTTATTAAAATATATATTTATACATAATTATACTCAGATGCCATTTTCAATCAGTTTTAAAACGTTATTTAAACACTCCTGTTCAGTCGTAATAAACGTCCCAGAATGATTCAGTGTGTAGAATCCGGAATACTGGAATCTTTTTACCTAAACCCATAATATTTATGACCCTTTACTAATTCCTTCTTCTTCAGTAATCCGATGTCCTTTCCCAGAGATAATTACAGATGGTTGGCGAATTTGTCATCCTAGTCAGGACTTTGTTTTAGCCGCAAACTGCCGAGCTGGTTGCTACGGGGGACATGATTTAAATGGTGCCAGCCACTATAAATGTCTAAAGTCAAAGCAATGGTCGGACAGTACGCCTATCTGTGAAAGTTAGTGATGTTTTTAATTAACACTAATTTATTATTATGCATGCATACTCAATAAAATATTTAGATAAATATTTAGTTATCAACACTATATATAGATACAACTGTGTAATCAACACAATATTTAGACACAACTGTGTAATCCACACAATATTTAAATACATCTGTGTAATCAAAACTATATTAGATGCAACTATATAATCAATAACTATTCAGATACAACTGTATAATCTATACAACATTTAGATACAACTGTGTAATCAATAAAACATTTAAATACAACTATGTAATCAATACAACATTTGGATACAACTGCATAATGATACAATATTCAGATGCAATTATGTAATCACTACAATATTCAAATACAACTGGTTAACCAATACAGTATTCATATAGAATTGTGTAATCACAACAATATTCAGATAAAATTTTGTAATCAGTACAATATTTACCCAATTATTTCTGTTATTAGATGCTTTGTATAACAAAGAACACGCTGCTTTAAACATATAGCATTGCTACTATCAAACAATTTATACTTCTTATTCAAGTACAAACCGGTAACATTATTTTCCTAGTTATAAATACTGTATGTCTGTATACCTATAGTTCTCGTAAATTCCCTGCACAAGCTCTATCCAGAAAATTTTCACATTATCCTTCCTGAAAAGACTGGGTTAAAGAGGGACTATGAATGGAATATCAAGTCATTTTTTCCAATTTGATGCAGATCTATTTCTCACACTTTCTTAACGGAGCTAAATTTATAGTCTCTGGTCGTCATCTGAGGAATTTTGAATCCGACGCGAACTACAAATTATCTTTTTAAAATGAATATCAGTCCAAAATTGGTTCAATTTCTTTCAGTTATTACAAGGAGACGGTAAATTAAAAATTTGCTTACAGGATAAGGTCAAAACAAACCAGTGGTACCTATAATATCGATAAAATATTTTGATGTGCCTCTAATTCAGTATAATTCAGTAGCCCTTTACACATGTAATCTGACTATAATCAGATTGAATCGAAGCCGGGAGACAATCTACCTTTGATGTCTTGATTTTATTTATAATTAAATGTTAAATAAACAATTTGAGTACATTAAGGCGCGGATTAAGCTGTGATTATTTACATATTTAGATGAATTCCAATGACGATCATCAACATTAAATAACATTTCATTTCCACTTTGATCGAGTAAGAACTATTTTGAACAGCAATCGGATTCCTAGTTATGATATGCGACAATATAGTAAATAACAGAATAAATGACGTTAAGAATGGTATTCAAAATTCGATAATGTATCTTTATTTCAAGGAATATGTCACCTCAAATCAATAAATGCTTACTTCTATATGCCAAGTTAACATATTTTCAATTGATTTATCTAGAGAAGATATGTCCGCCTTTGAGAGGGAACCCAGACAAACATTATGATGTTTTATGCACGGATGAGAGTTACTATCGTAGTGTCTGTACCTATACATGTCACAAAGGATACGGAGTGGCTAGTGGAATGTCCAGGGTACGGGTCTGTCAAGAAGATGCCATTTGGAGAGGAAGAAAACCCGAGTGTATAGGTAGATATACTTATTTTTAAAAACAAACTCCTCACTTAATCAATTTCGTAGTCAGTTATTTTCAAATTATGCTATCTGACTATAATCAGATGTTCATTCAATAGCCGTTTAGACATACAGTCTGACATTGATAAGGAAGAAACAGTTATCAATGTCCCATTATAAAGCACATAGAAACATAATATCCGGTTTTGTTTTCACACCTGTTCATACCAAAGTCTATATATACGTAACGCTTAGCACTTCGATAAACGAGGTAACTTTACCAACCGCTTTTTATTTTTATGTATAAAGTTGATCTCTATAATTATATAGGAAATACTTATTTTCAAAAGTCAATGGTCCAATTAGTGTAAAGTTTATATTAATTAATTCTTTTGTCTACAACGTTTATAAATAACATTAAATATTTTGTAACAAAAACAGAGTAATATATGAGATATGTTATTACATTATGTAGAGCCTGAAATCCATAGTGAAATGTCTCAACATCACCAAATTCGACAATGTCCATTAAAGTTATTTACAATTTTACAAATTTCAGACAACGAACCGCCAAATTTTCTCTCGTGCCCAAGTACAATCGTAGAAATCGCTGTCAAGGGCAAGGACAGCACCACGGTGTCATGGCCGATTCCGATAGTTGATGACAACTCGAGAGAAGATATTAGTCCGGTGTTAATTAAAGGGAAACAACCCAGTTCTACATTCACGATTGGTGTTCATACTATTGAATATAGTGCTAAAGATTCGGCTAATAATAAACCCAAGACATGTAAATTTAAAGTGGTCGTTAAAGGTGAGTTATTCCTAGATTAAATAGTTGAATATTCTAGTAAAAATACAAACCCTCAAAATATTAGATATAATCTAGATTCCACATTAACAATAGTTAGCATATATTTATTGTAGATGTGAGAAGGGAGAAAACAATATTATACAATATGAACAAAAAGTGTGCTAATAACTACTACATACAATATAAACAGTATTATACAATATTATACAATATGAACAAAAAGTGTGCTAATAACTACTACATACAATATATACAATATATACAATATGAACAAAAAGTGTGCTAATAACTACTACATACAATATATACAATATATACAATATGGACAAAAAGAGACCAGAAACTGGATGATAAATCAGGATCTGAGCCACAGGCCACAAAACTTGCACTTGCCTAAATACATTGTCCTTAGCATGTTTTTTTTTATGTTGTATCTTAAAAGGTAACTATTGGTACTATTAGCCTTGCCTTCGAGTGACTGAATTTTAATTGAGCAAGCTGAAAAAAAGAGATGTCTTACGTTGGCTATTAATACAGTTTTTGAAATTTTTAATAAATATACTCTATAAAAGTGCTATCGATGATAGTCGTCACCGATCTCGGTGATCAGGTGTTAATTATATACGTACCGTGATCATTGAATAATAGTAATTGATGATGTTTTACAACTAGCTGCAAATTAGTGGCTAAGGTAAAACTGTGCCAGTAGTACAGTGACAGATCACATAATTTGTAGATTTAGTTTACCAACAATATGTGATCAATGTGTTAAGAGACAAATGGGGGTTTTCTGGGAACAAGCAGTATCTAGGCATTTTAATTTACTGATTAAAATTGTATTTTTTAGAGATAATATGTCATACATTATATCCACGGGTATATCAAACAGTGTCCTGTCCAGATGGTTATCGTTATGGTTCAGAGTGTATTTTTGGATGTGATAGTGAAATGTCGTTGTCTGAAGACCCTAAAACTACATGCCACAAAACAGGAAGAGCGGGACGACCGGCCTATGGTGTTTGGTCGTTTGGTAGTTCTCAACCTAGTTGTGAAAGTAAGAATTTCAAACCTTGTAATGTAGTTTGGGTTGGAAAGGGAAGTTTGTGTGGTAGTTCGGATATCCCCCGGTAGAAGCGGACGTTAAATCACTGTGCATGAAATAGCTTATTTAATAAGCTATTTCATGCACAGTAATTTTATAAAAATAGTTGGGCGAGAAGAGAAGTGCGGTTTAATGTTATCCCTAAGAAGGCAATTTGAGACTAGCATTATATAGTATTTTTCATTTCAACAATTCGCTTGCGAGAAATTATCTTCAGCAAATAGAAGAAACGCGAGACAACACACACGCTTAGGCAGGTGTCCATACTCTTTGTCACCTAAGAGTGAATATCGGCAAGAGGAGGTGAAACGCCGCTACCCACTCAGACTTGTCCTCCCTTGCATTGTAGACGCATTGAAAAGATTTTCTTTTATATCTAAACTTTGTAGTCACTGCCAGTTGTCCACCTTTAACATCACCGGACAATGGTGCCATAGCCTGTGATAATTGGTATGGCGGGAAGGTCTGTCAGTTACAGTGTCAAAATGGATATGATTTAGCTCGTGAACACCGAGCGTTTATTGAACAGAAACTGATGATTTGTGGAGACTCTGGTGTCTGGAATCTGGATGTTAACTTTCCTAGTATTGTACCAAGAGAATGCAAAAGTACGTGTATCATTGTATTATACATATTACATCTGACCTCATAATCTAAACTCTTAGATAATTTATAGAACGTATTCATTGAAATTATAATTATGTGATATAGTAACCTCGAGTTTATTAGAATTCTTATAATGAAGTTTCGTTTCTTTTCCTATATATGTTTTTGGCTATTACCTCTACTAGTTTTGTTTCATTTTATTTAATTAATTTTTAATTTTCCAGAAATGCAAAGCTCTAATGGCCGACTTTTGATGGAAATGCATTTTTATTATGAAGGTGATTGTAACAATCCAAGCACCAAAAATGATATCCAGAGCAATTTTATTACTAATGTCAAGTTAAATAATATTGGATGCCCAGCGGCTTCAGCCTGTGTGGAAGTCAATGTTAATGTAGGTATATGCCTGACTAAATTATGACAATTGTACATATTAAAGACATTAAAGAAATAATTTAAATAGAATTGGGACTGACATGGATGTGTCTAGTTTTCGGAAAGCAAATACATGGTACTCATTGTCTTGCGATGTGGTCTTTGCTCAGAGTTTAGCATATACTGAGCTGTAGTTTTGGTCTTCGAAAGTCAAGTCGAATTATCGTCCCACCTAATTATTAGCAGTAATATTTGTTGCACACAAGGTAGTAAATACCCACTTTCGTGAATACCCAAGACCACGTTTTAATTAAAACCGTTTTCCATGCTCATATAGAGTCCAAGTATTCTTTTTAAATGCTACATATTAATAAATGGGCCAAATGGAAGAGCTCTATCCAATTTCAGACTATTTGGCTCTCTAAATTGGAGGTCCCGTGTTCAGTGGCGGCGCCAAGGGGGGCAGGGGGGGGGGGCGTTCGACCCCCCCATTAATCTGGTCTGCCCTCTGGCGTGGTTTCAATTCCCCGGTTGTACGTGACAAGGAGTAGGGTCGCCTGTCCAACCTCGTGGGTTTTCTCCGGGTCCTCCGGTTTCCTCCCACAGCTAAAGACCGCTACGCGTAAGCGAATTATAGAAATAAAATTGAACCATATGTTAGTCCCGAAATGACCTAGTTTGTGTCGAGTGAACGTTAAACCCCATCTCTCTGTCTGTCTGTCTGTCTCTCTCTCTCTACAATCGGTGCCTGAATACTGTCAGACAGCATTTCCGACAGTCTATTTTTCAAAATTTTCTTATCAGATCTATTTATCTCGACGATCGGTGACTGACTGAATACTGTCAGCATTTCCGGCAGTCTATTTTTCAAAATTTTCTGGGGGAGGTCCTCCGTAATGACTCCCTACTTTGGCGCTCGTGAGTGGGTTTCGTCGAGGTTCGCAAGTCCGTTCGTTTGACACTTTATCTCAACGATCAGTGCTTGAAATACTGCCAGGCCGCATTTACGGCAGCCTGTTTTTCAAAAATTTCTGGGTGAGGCCCCCTACCCCTAGTTGAAGCTCGTGCCTTTGCCCCCTTAACCTTGGACTTTGTCCCAGCTTTGCCCCTCCAACCCCCGGCGGCTGGCGCCGCCACTGCCCGTGTTCAATCCCTGCTTTGGCAAAGAAAGTTCATCGGGATTTTCCGGCGTGGTTCCCCCTTGTCAGTGGTGCAGGACATAGTCTATTTTGATAAATATAGTCTATAAAAGTGCTATCGGTGATAGTCGTAACAGATCTCGGTGATCAGGTAATATTTAGGAGGTGTTAATTATATACGTACCGTGACCATTGAATAATATTAATTGGTGATGTTTTACAACTAGCTGCAAATTAGTGGCTAAGGTAAAACTGTGCCAGTAGTACAGTGACAGATCACATAATTTGTAGATTAAGTTTACCAACGATATGTGATCAATGTGTTAAGAGACAAATGGGTTTTTCCCCTGAACAAGCAGTATCTAGGGACAACGTCTAATCGTTCGGATGGGACGAATTTCGATATAAGAGTAGGCGGTATCGCCGCTGTCCAGGCAAAACTTCCCTCAAAGCATACTGTATGGCGTAGGACGTTAACCCCCTTTTCATTTCATTTCATTTTTAATACCTGGCGGGACTGTTCATTGAGTCTAAAGTAAGTTTAACAAATTTCAGAATCTTTCGAGTTAGGTCCTACTTAGTTATATGTCACTATTAGTTTTCATAATTTAACTTTTATTATTCATAACTTTACTATTAATTCTTATAACTTTACTATTAATTCTTATTATTTTACTATTATCACTCCTAATTTTTCTGTATTTATCCCATAATGCTTCTTTTATTTTGTATAGGTTGAATGTGGGGTCAGTAGAGTAAAAAAGAGTGCTGACATTAATGAAACGAATGCCAACGTTACTTATGTGGCTAACACACTCCATCTTAACATACTTATAAAAGCTTTAGAGAATGACACAATAGATGACGTGAACGCAAGAACCACTGACGTTATTACGCATGTGCTTACGTTAAAAGAAACCAATTTTACGGCTGGAGATGGGGTGGTTACAATTTTTAAAATAGACACACCCACTTTGAGCGTTGATTGTTCTGATGGCTATGTTTCTTCTGATACTGGTATATACTGCAGTAAGTCAATATTTACTATTGGCCCATTCGACATTAAAAATACGAGAAAGACTTCATGTTAGAATGATGGTATGCTTTAGTATAAGTGAAATCCTATGATTTTTAGACATCTAAGATAATAAACGGAATCAAAAGGGGACGCTTAAAGTATGCAAAATTGTATAAATTTGTCAATTTATATAGTATAAGTAGAGGGGCTAACTTCGTGCGATTCAATTAAAAAACCTAGTAATATATAGTATTATCGAATGGAATGATCTGCTTCGATGACAGTATTAGTCCCCCCCCAACTTTTAAAGCTGTTTCAGCAACAGTTTACCGACCGACAAATGCATTCCCACCAATATAGATTAAGACTTTATGGAGAGATCAACGCCAGTAATAGTAGGGTAGAAATTAGTTTCTACTTCCGTAGATATTCAAAATTTGCTGTTTTAGGGTTGAACTTACTACAGCGAATGTGCACGCGAACCCTTCTTTACATTTTTCAATTATAAACGCCCCCTTAAATATACTGTTGACGATTCTGAATTACAGTAGTATTTAGTTTATTGGTTGTTACACAAGATTTCGAATTTGCTATATGTTTTCAATAATAAAATACCGCTAGGAGCATACTCCTCGCTGTGTTTCGTTTGATTATACCTAATCCCACTTAACACTGCTGTAATGGAAGCAAATTTCTGTTCCAAATTATGGCTGGTAAATAGTTCGATTAACAACCAACGATAAATGCGTAACAATACCATTACGCTTTAAACAGAGCTCAATTATTGGACCAAATATGTTTACATAACGTTACGTCATGACTCACGATTTTATTATGCCAATTAACCAGTGCATAGCAGAATATTACAGAAAAAGCCAATTGCGTGACAAACAAGACTATGAAAACGGATACAATGTAAACAATACTGTTTGGAGAAGAATAATACTTTCGCCGTTTTTAATACCTTAAATCACTGCCCAAAGTTTTAGGAAGACCCCAGATTAAATGAAGGGCTGTCATGTTGCTGTACTTAGGACTGATTTGATTGAACATGAAGAATATACACACTCCTTCAAAAGCTCAAGTATCAGAAGTCAGTCCAGCAATGACCAGAGTTACTAAATTAGATTTCTTGATCTAGCTTTCTGTAATGTTTCGTAGAAAATAGTCTTGATTATCAAGGCATGTCAATCACGCCTGTCAAGCCAGTACACTGGTTTAGTGCGACTAATTTCAAAACAAGGGAACGTAAACTATTTTGCACTTGAAAATGGTTATAACTTGTTAAATGCAACATGGCCGTTTATTTAATTACGATAAATGTAAGAAGTAAGTTAGGGCTTGTTAAGATATATATACATATATTTATGGTGGGGTACCTTACTTACGAGCCACGGTACTAACCAATAGTACTTATTATTTTTAATTATTCAGATATGAAACCCCATTTCTTTATTTTTCTATTTTAGTACCTTGTCCTATAGGCTCGTATCATGATAAAACCCTAAACCAGTGTTTGAAATGTCCGGTTGGTCAGTGGCAAGGTAAAGAAGGGAAGGCATTTTGTATACCATGTTGGGTTGGTAGTACGACAAGGATAGATGGCGCTGTTGGTAGGGATCAGTGTGAAAGTAGGTGACGTTTTGTGACATAGTAAAATAATGAGTCAATCATCTTTTAATAACCTTTGAACATATTACTAGGTTATATTTTTTTTGAAAAAGGATATGGATGTTATCCTTTGAAAATAGAGCAAAACACATTCGCTTCTTTTATCTGTGATATAATACCTATTCACATAAAGATATTGTAATTATATAGTATCAACGATATCAACATTAATTTATTTAAATGCAGATGGCTGTCCTGTGGGTACATCTTCAGCTAATGGTATAGCACCATGTACACCTTGTGGTAGAGGTCAGTACCAGTCAGACATTGGTCAACGGTCTTGTGTTCGGTGTCCTGGATCACAAACAACGGAAACAGAGGGTTCATCAGATATTTCATCATGCTTAGGTACGTACATATTATTTGAAAAGTCAATGCGGGAATGTTTGGAATTGAAATTAAACAAGATTACCTTTAAACGTTATTTAGAGATCCTAGGCGGTCGTTAATTTTCTATATAATGCTAGTTGACCATTATGTTACACCAGCGATGTTCACATTAGATATTATCCCAAATCTGAGAGAAATATTTCGGTCTATAGCCGAGATACAGGCGTTTAAAGATTCGTTAAGACTTCTAAAGTAGATTAATGGTGAAGAAAACGATTAATTTACATCTTAATTGTATTTAAAATGGTCCAAATGACCGAAAATGTTAATGATTACATATGCAAATCTAAAATACAGTTTCTCAAATTTCCAAATTTGTAACATTTCAAACGACGTTCCAAAAGAATTAATTATATTCATGTGCTAAAAAAGCAGGCGATACGTTTCAAGTCAGTAGCTTGAAGCGTATATATGGTATTAGTGTCAGTGGCCTGTGGCACGAAGTAACAGTATATTGTCGCATACATAATATATTATGTCAACGCTTGGGCGATATAATATATTATATCAACGCTTGGAACTAGGATGGAGGTGACTAGGCATGAACTTGCAACGATAGATTTAATTGGCGCTTTGATAACCAATGAATGCTTTGGAGACATATTTTGGCGGTATTTTCCATCATGGAATCGGTAAGTTTCGATTGTTTTTTTCTTTTCTGTTTTTTCTCTCTTTTCTGTGTCCTAACCCTAACCCTAACCCTAATCCGAAAGAAAAGTGCCCTTTTTTGAAATTCTGACATCACAGGTGCCCTTTTTCTGATAAGGATGCCCTCTTTTATTTACAGGGACACTTTCTATTGTTAAGGGGGTGGACCGGTCCCCATGGTCCAACCCCTGGATCCGCTCTGATGACGCGTACATTCCACTGAGTCTACAGGTCTAATATGCTAACACGCTTGGAGCGTCAACACAATATATTATGTCGCCCAAGCGTTGACATAATATATTATGTATGCGACAATATACTGTTACTTCGTGCCACAAGCCACTGACCCTAATACCATATATACGCTTCAAGCTACTGACTTGAAACGTGCAGGGTGAAAAAAGAACCTTTGGCTTAACATACCTGATATTAAAAATGGGATATGGATAATATAATCTTCCTATATTTGTTTTTTTCTTTCACAGATTTTGATATACAGTTTCTAGGCATGGGAAACGACAGTATCGCTGTTCAGTATGTAGAAAGTTCCGTGGAAGTAGAAGATATTAGTTTAAGTTTTTGGTTTAGCTGTTCAATATGTACTAACTTGTTTCAAATGAAAGATGAAACGATGACATGGATAGATATGAATATAACAAATACATCATTAATCGTCACCATAGATCAGTAAGCACATTTTGTTCTAAATTTGTTTTCTAGAATACACAACATATTTCATACTGAATCTGTTTTGTTCTCACAAGTCAAATTTTGTGGTGTTTCGTAACCAAAGAAGACCGCTCGCCCTGTTCTTGTTAATCATCATCGGTGAGTGGGGGTACGGTTGGTGGCGTTTTAGTTGGTTGATTAATATAGAGGTAGTTCGGTCCCACACGTATACCAAGAAACATGGTTACTACTTGTCAGCAGCACCCTGCTCATGTCTTGGCATTTTTATAGAGACCCAAAACCGAGTTTCTATTTCTCATGTAATATTTCACGAGTATTCGGAGATGTCACTGTCGATGGTCTTAGAGATCTCTTGTTTATATTCAAACATTTGTTTCTTTTCTTGGACAAACGTTTGGTGAAACACGAAGTACAATGGGTGAACTCGACAAGATCGATAAGATGTGAGAGTTTATTATGTCTTAATAAGCTCACAGCTACTCGTAGAGATGAAGGGTTCAATAAATCTACAAGATTATCTTCTAAGGTGCCATCACATATCTGTTAGTCGCGAATCATGAAATTATTATCTATGATGTGTCATCATGTATCTATGATTAAACAGTATAATTATTATGTATTAGAGCACGTGGAGTAGCCATTATTAGAAAAGTACCGTATAAAGCATGCGCAGCCTCACTCCCAACAACCGCCTCCACAACCCTGTTAATATGTAATTGAACTAATTGTTATCATATTTTAATACTTTAGGCATGATTATAATCTAGAACTTCCTTCCTTAACTAACAAATGGCACCTTGTGAACCTTATCCTAACTAACAATAGTCTTAAAGTCTGGAATGATGGAACTCTGAAAATAAACGAAGATATCATTGGTATAACTCATAATATATCTTCTATTGAATTAGGAGGTAAGAATCATTATCTAATTTGAATTTGACATAATACCAACTCACAATATAGAAAGAGATATCAAAGGGGACGTGGCCATGAGTAGGTATGGAGTGGTCACACAGCCAATTAGTGTGTATATGCAGGGGTAGGGGTGTTTTTTAAGTGTTTGTACTGTATATAAAAATTGACAATGAACATATATATAGAAAATTGGAGCGGCGTTGTGGACTGCCCACACCTGTAAACTAATAAATATAATTCCCAATCAAACATGTTCTTACAGGTACGGAATTCGTGGGATCAATCAGCCAATTCCACGTGTGGAATAACTCGAGAGATATTGCTGATCAACCATCTAAATGTTTTGGTAATTTGAGTGGGAACCTGATAACATGGAGAGACTTTATACTTGCTGGATTTGATGGTTCATTTGTTGATTTACCCAGCACTTGTGATGGTAAGAAAAAAGATTTGTTTCACATAAAATATCTAACAGTAAAATATTTCATTCCCTCGTAAACAATCGTATACTTGGCTTTTTTATTTTATTTTTTTTTGAAATGTTACGGACAGTAAAAAGTAGTAAGCACTTTTGTTCAAGATACTAGAGAAAACTTGGTACCACTTCGAACTTTTCTGGGATGCTAACCAAGCTTACAATTTTTATGCTTTAGTACGAAAATCAATTTCATGGGGTTATTGTTCAGCTTTTAAAGTATTATTTTTGAGCTTAAAGGTTTTGAAAGCTACAAATTAATTTCTATTAATCAGATACCGATGACTGTCAATCACATCCATGTCAAAATAATGCAACGTGTGAAGATGGACTTAATGAAGTCACGTGTCACTGTGTCGTGGGATTTACAGATAAATTCTGCCATGTCAATATAAACGACTGTATTAATGGCGTATGCTTGAACAACGGCACGTGTATTGATGACGTCGATGATTATCATTGTGGTTGTCCTACTGGTTTTAAAGGGAAGTATTGTGAAATTGTTGTTGGTAAGTATAAACATTCCCCCTGTTTTCTACGCTAACTAAAACTAACATCAAAATTCCATTAATGAATTATTACACAAATGAATCATTTCAAAGAGATATAAATGCAATACGTAAGAACTAAATCTACCTATTATGTAAACATTTATTAACAAGCCCACCATGGGCGTGGATTTAGGGGTGGGGACTAGAATCTAATTTGGATCGCAAGGACAGATTTTCAGGTTTATATCCAGATGAATGTCCTGTTCTGAAGGTTATCTAACCACAGTTACTGATCTTCACGATATCTTCCTCCTTAATTCACCGATCGCAGGTGGCAATCAAAATAATAAATCAACCAATCAAAAAACGCCCCCCCCCCTTCTGAGCGAGCCGGCTCTATCCATGAAGCAAAAGCGACTGAACCACCTGATGGTTTGTGCGGTGCATAATGACCTCCTCCATGATCAGGACCCAAAGCATGTCGCCAAGATGTTCATAGACAACAGCCCTTATCGTAGAATGAACGTCTTTGGACGATTCACTTAACTTCATGAACAATTAATATTTGTGCAGCTTTGATGTAGGAAGTCAATTTTTCCATATCGTCATCATATTACCCCTAGTCACAGCTTTCATCGAAATAACACTGGTACAGTAAACTGTTCGTAATTATTATTTTGGTTTGCTAATAAAATGCTCCAGGTTCTAGGGTTCGCCCCCCCCCCCCCGCCAAATCCACGCCCCTGAAGCCCACAATCAACTCTCCGTGCGATCGGATGAACCAGATTTTAATTAGATTGTAACACCGCGGCCATTTAAGTAGTTTACCAATAAAATAGATAATTGGGACTTAGTCTGCATTGTCAAGTAACGTTGCTACGATAATAAACATTTTGTAAAACTACTTATATTAATTACAAACATAACTTCACAGAATAAAGGATTTTGACTAAAATTTAAAATTCAATATATTCATTTTTAATTTTCTATTTATGAACTATTATAGTAAGAACGTCCATCTCTTTATCCAATTATTTACGTCTTGAAATTAGTACTACATTATTAGTACGTGGAAACACTTCCTGTTTACCTTTGTTATAGAAAGTCGATCGAACGAGAAAAATAAAATCGTTGGATGTCCTTTTGCAGCCACCTTACTAAAGTCTATTACGTTCATATTCAAATAAGCGAGACCGGGTTGTTTTCAGCAGAAATATGGAAGATGTGAAACAAAATAATATAATATACGCATACCATCTCCTTTTCTTTTTAATTTTCTCAATATCAACTCTGTTTGGCAAAGACATTTTACTTGTCTTTTACCGACGTGGTGATAATTTCATGGTTTTGGCGAGAAGGCGATTTGGCTCATCTACTGGAGTCTATATTGAACAGGAATGTACTATTAGCTGTTACAGGTCATAGTACCATTTTGACTGGGATTGGTAAGTTATGGCAATATTGTCTTGGCTTCACATAATAAAGTTTATATAATTTTGATTGGTTCTTTCAATTGCAGTTGATGGGGGTTGGACTGATTATGGTAATTGGTCAGTCTGCTCTGCATCTTGTGGTAACGGTACCAGGTACAGAAAACGTGTTTGTGATGATCCTAGCCCAGATAATGGAGGTCTGGAGTGTGAAGGGGTTGATACTGAGGTTGAGGAATGCATACAAGCTGAATGCAAAGGTAAATATTTCCATACTCAGATCCGTGAGTTGACTGAATAGCATCTAGAATTGAAATGTATCTAGCCAGTGTTTCGGGGGATCATCCATTTTCGTAATGCTTGGACAGTTATGGAGAAACTCTTAAAAGGATTAGCTAGTATAATAAAATAATCTTTTGTAAACAAACAAAAAAGTCTTTTTTGTCCGGGGCAGTTTGCCACAAAGATCGTCCCCCACTTGTTAGGGGTAGCGCCATTGGGGCTGACTAGTATTTTGTTGGCTAGTCTTTCGGATGAGACAGAAAACCGATGTCCAATTACGTACACACTGACGTGCGTACACGAACGCTTTACAGTTAATTACGATGTAGATATAAATGCTCCAGATACAGGGCGTAACTAGCTCAGAGCAACGAAGGGGGCCGGAAGTGTTCTCGGGGGTGCTGTGATATTGACGGACAATGCATATCTATTTTTTTATGGTGGGGGGGGGGGGGCGAAACTGATAATGAACTACATACTACATATATCAATTGTATTTCTATCAACGATCTGTGAAGATATAGTTGCTCCTGATAATGTACTATATCAATTGTATTTCTATGAACAGTCTGTGAATATATAGTTGCTCCTGATAATGTACTATATTATATCGATTGTATTTCTATCAACAGTCTGTGAAGATATAGTTGCTCCTGAAAATGGTTACATCGATTGTGACAACTCAACAGATCATATAATATGTACAACTGGGTGTAACCAAGGCTACATGAATGATATACCACCTTTAAAACAATATTTATGTGGACCATCAACTTTCTATGAATGGAATTATCATAGCGTATATAATCCTTACAAACGACTTCCATATTGTTCTAGTAAGTATAAACTACAACAACCTTCTTTTCTAATTCTCGAATTCACGATTTTTTGGATTAAAGGTATTTTATTTAAATACCTTATTAGGATTCAAGTGTCTTAGAAATAACGCCACCCACTCTAATCTTCCAGAAACAAAACTAGTTTAGCCTGTACTAATTATATTTGATAATCTTTTAAATCTGCTTTCTATTATTTTAGCCATTATTTCTAGTGCAGTTAATTACTTTTATTGGCTTCAATTGTTTTTCAGATACTTAAAGTTTTATCTTTCTGTAACACAAAAGTTAATACCATATTTTTATGAAATATACTTTTTATACACCTTAATTGAGATACCATCATCGCCTGGAATCTTAAACGTTTTTATAACATTTCTGTTTTTCTGCATTTATCATCACTTATGAGTTCATCATACATTTCTACATTTATCATCACTTTTGAGTTCATCATACATTTATACATTCATCATCATGTTTTCCCTTACTAATTAGTTATACACATCAAGGAAGTAATGTTTTGATTACAGCAGTATATATCTGTAGATTTATAAAGCTACCCTTAATAAACCCTCTTGTTAAAGGCTCAATACCACTCTTGTTGTAACTGAATAATATGTCCCAATCTTTATTCTGGTCAACAAATTTTACTATTTTACAATATTCCAATTAATTGATGATATAAATTTCATCTTAACACACCTAATTTAAAAAAAATTGGAAAAATTCAACTAAATGATTTGAAAAGCCTGACGTAAAGCTTTTCAAATGTGACTTGGATTTAAAAATATTTTTGAACCCTTTGGACAAGTAAAATAGGATTTAATAGATAATTTACACAACAGGTAGGACACTAACACATCTAGTACTTAGAATAAGGCTATTTTTTATTTTCTGGAGCTGTCAAGCCAGCAAGAGTGTTATTGTCCCTTTAATGCTGTGATTTGAAATACATATATATATACTGGGGTCGATGGACTTCGTTCGAAACGGAACTCTTGATTACTGTTGCCACAATTAAGGTATTCTCCATCACCGGAATGCGCGCTGGGGTAACGTTATTTCGATCACAACCGACTAGAATTCTGAATTTATTAGCTATATGCTCCGATTCAGGGATGTGTGTTTACAAAATCAAACTTTGGGTTGATATGCTTTGTTTTTGTTTTCTCTCAGAGTTTGAACCAGCAGTTACACTAAGCGTCATATTTGGCGGAACCTATAGCAACTTAAACTGTGAACAGGCTGATTTCACAGACAAGTTTCAGGAACAGACAAAACAGCAAATAACAACATTGCTATCTAAATTAGACTGTGTCAAATCTCAAATGTGTACTGTGGATACAGTGAAAGTTTCAAGTTGTGCTAATATTGGGGACCGACAGAAGAGGTCACTGGATGAAAACAGAGCTTCAATTGAAGTTGTTATTTCTTCCTTATCACAAACAGGTACACATCACTTTATTATAGTAATAACTTCTACTAATATTTCTCTTCTTTTTAATTTGGATCATATTTATTAGCTCACCGAGAAAACATCCCAAAAGGCTTATGTCTTGCCCCTTGCCATTCTCTCCCCTTTTACATTTTTTACTACCTCTACTATTTTACGGGGCGGTTGGATGGCCGAATGGTTAGCACGTGCGCGCTGTACCATAAGGCCGGTCATTGAGTCAACTGGCGTGGTTTCGAATCCCCGGTTGTACGTGACAAGGAGTAGGGTCGCCTGTCCAACCTCGTGTGTTTTCTCCGGGTCCTCCGGTTTCCTCCCACTGCTAAAGACCCCTACGCGCAAACGAATTATTGAAATAAAATTAAACCATATGTTAGTCCCGAAATGACCTAGTTTGTGTCGAGTGGACGTTAAACCCCATCTCTCTCTCTCTCTCTCTCTCTCTCTCTCATTTTACGCCCTGACAAGGACAGTTGACTAGTCGTTCCCGTGTACACGTAAAAGATCCCTGGCAGTTGGAATTCGATATAAGAGTAGGCCATAGTGCCGCTGCCCGGGCAAAATTTCCCTAAGCGAGGGAATCATCAAAGATAAATTTTCGACTTTTTGACACGTTTTGACTTCTTCTTTTAAACCACTTAACGGATTTCAACCAAATTTAATAGGTATGATATGTTGCTTGAGTGGTGATATGTTGCTTGAGTGGTGCTCGAATTCAGAACGGTAAATTCTGATCCTCTCCCAACCTGGCTTCTGAAAGAGGAGAAAGTACTGGAGGTTCTGCTTCCAATCATTACTGGCATTGTTAATGATTCTATAACCACTAGTACTGTTCCTGTTTGCTTAAAGTCAGCTCTGATCTCACCTTTGTTGAAGAAACCAAACCTTGATCCTCAGCTGTGTAAGAATTATCGACCTGTTTCCAACTTACCATTCATCGGCAAGGTTATTGAAAGAGTTATTGCTTCTCAAATTTCAAATTATTTGTCTGAAAACGGTTTACACGAATCACTTCAATCAGCTTACAAACGAGATCACAGTACAGAGACGGCTCTACTTAAAATTAAAAACGATATTGACCTGGCACTGGATAGGCATCTAGCCGTACACCTAGTACTTTTGGACCTCAGTGCTGCTTTTGATACTATAGATCATAGTATTTTATTTCAAATGCTGGAATGTTCGGTTGGGATCTGTGGAGCCGCACTGTCATGGATAAAGTCATATCTTCAAGATAGAACACAAAAGGTGCAAATAAACAGGTATGTGTCTCAACCCTGTGCTGTTAGGATAGGTGTTCCACAAGGATCTGTATTGGGACCTCTACTTTTTCTTCTATACATTCTTCCGATTGGTCAAATCATAAGAAGACATGGGGTACAAAACCACGGCTTTGCTGATGACACCCAAATATATGACTATTTTCAACACAACAACTATCTTGCTTCCAAGGATTCTATCAGTAGACTTGAGTCTTGTCTTAATGACATTCGAGGATGGATGACCAGAAATAAGCTAAAACTTAACGATGACAAATCTGAATTTCTTATCATATCATCAAAATCACAATCCAGTAAATTGTTTAAAGCGGATTCCATTCAGATCGGTGATTGCTCTATATCTCCCAAGAAGCAGGCTAAAAATCTCGGCTATGTTACTGATGAATTTATGTCCCCAGTTCCCCAAATCAATAGTATCATACGAAAAATGCATCATCAAATGAGAGCTATTTCGAGAATACGCTCTAATCTTAATACTGATGCTTGCCAGAGTGTTGTTAGAGCTTTAGTAACATCGCACATGGATTATGCAAATTCTCTTCTATTAGGAGCACCAGAAACAGCTTTAAACAGACTACAAATAGCGCAAAACAATGCTGCACGTCTTATAACTAAAACACGAAAATTTGATCATATATCAGCTAAGTTACAGAAACTCCATTGGCTTCCAGTTCGAGCGAGGGTTCAATTTAAAGCTCTTGTGAATGTGTGTAAATCAATTTATTCTGACACCGCACCTAGTTATTTAAAAGAACTCTTTGATTTCGATACTCCCCAGCGATCCAACCTTCGTTCTTCAAGTGATCGTAGCATATTGAGGATCCCCAAATATAATAAGCGTTCTGGTGAATATGCTTTCTCCGTCAAAGCAGCAAAATGTGGAATGATCTTCCAAAAACTCTTAGAGAGTCCTCTTCCATCCAGAGCTTTAAGACTAACTTAAAAACCTACTTATTTCAAAAATGTTTTTGAACTGTTTTGTTGTGAATGCGCTTAGAAACACTCATGTGTAATGAAGCGCTATATAAATCGAACAATAATAATAATAATAATAAATGGAAAGATATTTTCACAGACAAAGAAAGTACAATGTATTATTATATTAATAACCTAACCTATACCGCCAACTTTGACTCGTTTTTCTTCACCTAACCAGATGACCCTTAAGACTGTATCTTTTGCACAGTGGTGGGTTTTACAATCCAGATTTAGTTCAAATTTGTACCACTGACAGAATGCCGTCCTGATTGTTATTGATAATATATTATTTCATTGGGTGCGTTCGGTTGGTAACGATATTGGGTAACACGCTATGGAAACATTGGCCACAGATTTAGTCTCTGCTTCTTCAGGTATTGCCTCGTTGATACTGATTTTGAATTTAAAAACTCCACTAGATAGAGTCATAGTTATCTGTAGAATTTTAAAATCAACACTGTTTTTTTTCAGATCACAGTAATAAAATAAAACAACTCCAAGAAGCGATTTCTTCGTTAGATTCATCGGCGCTTAAAGGAGAATTTACGGTAGATGTTTTACAGAATATCTATGAATTAAACAATAATTCTACAGAAAGCCAGGGTAAAGCAGGTTGTCCAGTTGGAAGTTGGCCATATGATGTTTATTGTGGTTTGTATTTCCGTTTGATACAATCTAGTACGAAACAAACGTTCATATGATAAAGATATATCTCATTTATTCATATTTATTTTAATAAATAATGTGATTGATTGTTTGACGCCAGATCAGTTTACCAATCAAAACACGCGGTACACATGAGGTCACAATTACAAGAATACGCCATGCCCTGGTATACATGTAAGTACACTAGTAATTGGCCACAGATCACTAATTATTTCCCATTTAATGTTAATTCTCGTCTCTTACACCGGCTCTAACTTTTTCCCAAATTTTCGTTGGGTAGAACGCGTTCTGCCACAGATGGAGCAACATGTGGCAAACTCTTGCCCAAAAGCATGTATGAGGTTCACCATGAAAAACTTGAGATACACAAGCTGGAAGTAGAGACAAGTAAACATGCAATTTCCGGCCCTACATTTCAACGTAACCAACCTCACAACTCTTGTATCCTTCCGCCTCAAAATCATGAATATTCATCAAAACCTGGCAGAAAATGTATTTTCAAACCCTTTTTTTCGATTCTACACCAAAAAGTCAACAAAAAATGCCATGCAAAAGGGGGAAAAGGGAAAGGGAGAGAGAGACTAAAAATAGCTTTGGCCCTTGTTTCGCGGGTGACGGCCCAGGAATATTTGGTAATCTGTGTCAAATTATTAATCGGCTGTCTAATCAAGGTCGTGAGTATTATCATGGTACATGACATGACTAATCGAATATAGAAACGAAAATAACATATGGTTTTTATTTGACTGACTGTTTTGTTTTTATTTGCCGCGAGGTTATTTAAACCAATGCACATATTGTTTTGTGTGAAATATATTATTATTATTTACTTTATTTTACCAGTACCATGTGGTTTAGGATCTTATATGAAGGAAGATTATTGTGAATTGTGTGAAATTGGTCAGTATACAGATGCTGTTGGTCAAACGGGATGTAAAACATGTCCTGTTGGTAAAACTACAAGAGGTCTAGGATCTAGAGATGAGTCAGAATGTGATGGTAAGTCATATACATGAAAGCGCAAGTGTTATAATGTAAGTGTACATCTAGAGTGTTCATGATGTAAGTGTCAGTCTAGAGTGACTGGAATGTAAGACTAAATATAGAGTTGCCAGAAGAGTGCTAATTTATAAGTGTCAGTCTAGAGTGGTCGGAATCTAAGTGTAAATACAGAGTGGCCCGAATGTATGTGTAAATCTAGAGTGGCCAGAAATCAAAATGTAAGTGTAAAGTTAGATTGAGAGGTTGTACAGATATATCAAGAATAGTTAGAGTGTAAGTGTAAATCTAGAGTGGCCGGCTTGTAAGCGTGAAAATAGAGTGGTCAGCAATCAAAATGTAAGTGTAAATCTAGAGTGGTGAGTGTACTTCTTTGTATTTATTTCCTTGAAAATGTATTACATTTTGCGTATTTTATGTATTACAGTTGATGCCCCAATCCCAGTTCAAGGTAAGATCAGTAATTTGTATTGATTTTATCATCTTACATATTGTACTATTCAAAAACTAAATAAGTTGCTAGCATAAAGTTAACAGCGATTGTAAAGTATGAGAGTGGAATGTTTTCATGGGCATTGAACCAAATCATAGGAACTATACTGACCAATTACTCTCACTTTGTCAGTCACTAATATCTATATATACTCTTAAAAAAGTAGGGGGTATTCAGAAACAATACAAAACTGCGGAAATGCACTGCTGTTTTTATTAGAGGTAACCAGGCCAATTGCCTACACATGAACATAAACAGTTCATATGGGCGGCTTATCTGACGGCCCCATTTCACTCACTTGATTTTTGTCTTAATAATGAGTAATTGGTCCACCAATCCTCAGACATTCAGCAATTCGTCGTGGCATGCTCCTAATCAACCGTCCAATCACGATTTGGGGCAATCTGATCTACTCCTCTTGCAGTGTTGTCTGTTGACATCGATGAACACGTCCCCCGATCATTCCCAGACATGCTCTATAGGGGAAAGGTCAGGACGCATGACTGGCGAAAGCATATGGACAATATGGTGACGCTGGAGGTAGTCATTCACGACACAAGCGCGGTAGGCATGGGCAATATCATCTTGAAAGATGTAACGTCGGCCTGCACGTTGAGGAAAGGGCAGAACTATCGGTGTCAGGATGTGGCCACGGTAGTACACGCCAGTGACCCTTCCATGAACAATATGCAAGTCCGTTCTGCCAGTCATAATGATTCCTCCTCACACCATAACATACCCACACGTAGACGTTCATCATGTTGAAGACGTCTCATTGCAAATTAAACGCAACACACTAAAGCAAAGATACGCTAAACGGTAAATCTTATGAAAGAACCGATAGGAAAGCAAACATGGATAGGATAAACCAGCACGCGGCAGTTTTCATCCAACCCTTCCTTGAAGTGTCAAATTTGACAATGAACCCCTCCCACGTGTATGGTGCCATTGCGTTTCGCATGTGCAGCTCAGTGATTCTGTTGGGGGACAAGTTCTTCAACTGTGAACATACTCTCAAAGCATGTCAAGTGTCCATGACTATTTATAATATCACAACCGGCATAGGTATTTGCATTTCAATATTTCCTACTTTTTCGAAGAGTATATATACATGTACGTGCGCAGATCTTTTTTAAAAGCCTCATCGGCAGCAAGCCAATTGAAACTAGCTGATTTGCAAAATTAAGCTACATGAACAGTTCCAATTGAACGGCATAAGTTTGTTCATTGATTTTAAAATAGTAATTATGTCTTAAATATTTGATATTAGGATCTCATATTTTCACGGCATCATAACAACATCAATAGTGATTGAAATGGATCAATATTGAATTCTAATTCGTGTTTTTAATTTCGAATATTCTGGATAACATCGAATTGGAGGTTTAGCTCATTTAACGTAACTATGTCCGCCTGTACGAGCTTTAAAGTACCTAAAGGTAACGTAATGAAGAGATATTATTTGATATATTTTTTTTTAGCTGTATCCATGGCTTTAATTGTGGGCTTATCTGTTATGGTTGTTTTGGTCCTAGTTATAATAAGTATCATTTTCCTACGCAAGGGTAAACGGTAAGTATAATACAGTCATTCTTTTAAACACTGTGTCCTTTATCTCTATTAAACACAACAATGATTTAATCGATTACCAGTCATTCAGTGGAAATAAAAACAGTACTGAAACTACTAAATAGTAGAAATGGGGTCTGAGATCGTGCTTTAAAGGGGAAGTGATGGATTTCATAGGGCACCGTAAATAAAAGCTGGTTTAAGTGTTTAACTGAAAAGGGGGTATGGGACGATATAGCATATTTATTTGAAAATTTTAAATCAAAATATTTGTCCATTTTGATGATGATCGCTAGATTTGCTTAACGGTGCATGTGACGCATTTAAGGAGTTGTACTGTTGACTTGATAACAGCGATGCTTATATACTATTTAAACTCCGACAATTACATGCAGATGGTTAGGGCGTGGAATGTAGGGACGTATGGTCAACCCCACACGCACACAATTTGTATTGTTTTTGATAAAGTAGGGACGTATGGACAACCCACACGCACAACATTTGTATTGTTTTTGATAAAGTATCACAGTGTGGCAGTTCGTTGTACTGGACTAGTATGACTCAATTAACCAGTTTTATTCTCTAAAAAATACTAACAGATTCATTTATCCAAATGAAGATCATTCTCGTTCAATATCATATTAAGACAAGACATTTTCATAGTTCGATTTTTTATCAATGATTTTTAAAATCATTATTTAGGTTATGCAGAAAGCGAGAATCTAAAGGTTGTAAAATTCTTTACACAATTTATATTTACTAATTCAGGTTATGTAGAAAGCGGAAACCTAAAGGTTTTGACAATGCAGCTTATGAGTTACACGGGCGGCCAGACAAACAGATACCAAAAACAGCATGGAGCGAAAAAAGTCTGTCTACAAACGAGTATGTTATGTGAACTTTAATGAATAGTATTTTTAGACCGCTAGACTTTGTATTTCTGTGAAGAGTGTTCTCATCCTTTACGAAAGTGTTTTCGTATGACAAAGGTCTGTGATATCTGTATATTTTGTTATAAATACACTGAAATCTACTTTATCTATGTACAGATTGATATTATAATGTTGTATAATCGTTCCAAACTTATTTTATACTATTTAATTAATCCCGCCGTTACCCCTTTCCCGGTAGTCTTCAATTCTAAAACAAAGTCTAAATTATTCCTCCAGTTAGCTGTAGGTGTTATCCCTTTCCCAGTAGTCTTCAATTCTAAAACAAAGTCTAAATTATTCTTCCAGTTAGCTGTAGGTGTAGGAACACCTGGTTTCACTTCTCTTTTATTTGGAGAGTTGGTATCGTCAACAATGTTGCCCTTTTATCGGACGTGGGAAACTTATGTCATTATTGTTGTGTATAGTTTTCGGATTAGCTACACCATGTGAAAATGTATAACCCTATTCTGCATGATAAAAAAATAGCAATAGTCTTGAAAGTAAAAAAAAAACAGACTCCAAATGTGGACCCCGAGGTGTCAGTAGTCTATCAATGTCAAATGATGCGCCCCCTTATATTTGTTTGAACTTTTGACAACTATAAATGAAACGTACCCTAAGATCGCAAAACAAAAGCGTACTTTCTGTTGCTAAAAGAAAAATAGAACAATTTGGTGATAAAAATCCCATCGCTTCTGCAGCTCGTCTTTGGAATCAGTTGTCAGTACACATCTCAAACTTACACAAAGTCACGGGTAAACAGTTTTTTTATTTAAGCTCTCTTATCCAGATTAGAAACGGATTGTTTTATGTATTCGCGCATTTCAGACCATAACTTCTTGGATTGTGGCTCCTGGTTGTACGAAAAATCACGTTTGAAAAGAGGAGCACGAGAAACCCCACGAGGTTGGACAGGCGACCCACTCCTGTTCACTTAACGGGGAATCGAAAGCACGTCACTTGACTTAATGACAGACCTTACAATCTAGCGCGCACGCGTTAAACCATTTAGCCACCCAACTCCCCTCTTAGCATGCGTAAATGGATGGATTATTGAGTGCATTATAAATTTACATTATTATTATTTTATTATTTGCCATGGAATTTACTTTAGAAAGATAAACCGTTATCGTAAATAATTTTAAATTGGAAGTTTCCGGCGTTGCTCGTCCTTGTCATCGATGCCTGGCAAGGGAAACGTATAGTCGTTCCGATGGACGAAAGACCGAGGTCTCGTGCATGTACACATTGGCGTGCACGTAAAAGAACCCTTGGCAGTAACGCCGCTGTCCGGGCAAAATGTCCCTCATAGCCCACTGTATGGCGTATTCCCGTCTTTATAGACCCAGTCGGAGCAGAACAATAAGACGTTAAATCTCATTTCATTTCTAAATTATTAGTAGTAATCGGCCACTTCTTATTAACACCAAGATAAATACGTTTTGTTTAAATTTTGATATATGAATTTTATTAGTAACTTCCAGCTCACCTATTATGGTGATCCGTAGACACCCACCCATTGTTTTTTTTAGAGCTACTGATTTCTCTATCTATTGAGATAAGACTATCGCACCTCATGATTAAAATAAAGCTAAATATAATTGCATCATTTTTTTGTGATATATATTATTGGCTTTTTTACCATAATGAATTATACTGCGACTAGATTAATTATATTTATAATAAAACTTTATAATCATGCAAAATTGTCTTCTTTTATTGTTGTCAAGAATTTCACACCCACCAAAAAAACCGTGCTAAAATAAAAGTAACTAAACCAACAAATAACGAAATATGTAATGCAGCATAATATAGGACTAATAGTTAGCTTTCTGGCTGTTAGCCTTAAACTATAGTATATACCACCTACATACTACAAATTGTATGCTTCCAGGTCACTAAATACTTTTTTTCTAATAAAAGTGTCCGCTTCTTAATGGGCGCATTCATAGTCTTTGAAAACCCCCACCATATTACTTAAGGGTCAAATAGAAGTTGTCTTATAAACCCCGTTTGCTTTTCCTAATGGCTGACATGTGCGGTAAGGATCACCCTAAGATAATACAGATAAGAGTTAGCCTGAAAGTAATTGAAGATTTTTGATATTGATATGAATATTTACACTAGATACTGGACTGGTCTGGATAGCCATAATTCAGCCAGTCGTATTTAGCTGGTAGATATTGTCGCGTAATATTCCGATCTTTCCCCAAACCACTAAATGGAAACAACTCACCATTCATTCCTACGCTGGTTACCCACTAATTTAGTGATAAAGTTATTTAATCTTTCTCTCTCTTTCCTTTTTCCCAATTTTGCATGACAATTTTTGTTGACTTTTTGTTGTAGAATCGAAGAAAGTGGTTTGAATATACATTTTCTGTCATTTGAAATGTAGGGCGGACACTTGCAAGTTTACTTGTATGCTACTTCCAGTTTATGTAACTCAAGATTTCCATGGTGAACCTCATACTTGTTTTTGAGCAAGATATTGCCACATATTGCTCCATTTGTGGTAGAAAGCGTTCTACCCCACGAAAATTTGGGAAAAAGTAAGAGCCGGTGAAAGAGACGAGACAAAGTCAGTGGGGAAATTAATGGTGTCCAAATTGCACAAGCATAGGCGACGCCAAACGATTTCATAATGATGGCTGCTAGGTAGAAGTGTCACAATTATTAATTTATTCGATGCTCATGCTAAACATGCAATGAAGATAAAAATATTTATAATGGAAATGACACGACGTAGAAACAAAATTGCAAAATTAAGAATTTAGATTATATATTAATTTAGAAATTACATGAATAGAAGTTAAACGATAGCACAGAATTAACAACTTTAGAATTTTGAATCTAATATGCCACAATACATCAGCGCATCAGAAATTCTAGACGGGTAGAAAAAAAGTCACCCAAATTAATATCAAAAGCAAAATTCGAAAATGAAAATCAGTGAGGGCAACAATGCTAAATATTAACACAAAATGTGCATTGTCTCACAATCAAAATGCTTCACTCCAAACCTGAAACAAATGCGTTAAAAACTGTAACTCCTTTCGCGTTAACAAGGTAACGGGGGGTCCAGAAAGGCTGAATATCGATAGGATTCGTCGTCTCAGGACCCCAATGCACTTTACCAAATTAGAAATATGCTCAACAGCGGCTCATACAAAAGGAAAACTTAGATGTTGACAAAATTTAATAAGGATCTAGGAGCCTTCAGGAAATCTAATCTCTATCGTGTTCACAAGCTTTTCCGGACAAATAATATTCCTGTAACAGATAATAAGGGTTCGTCCTTTCTTTAATATTCTCATAGTCCAAATGCTGCATACAAAACTTGAGAAAAAAAAACTGTAGTCTCTAACACTCTAACAGGGTGGAAGAGGGTCCTGAATGGAAATGTCAATCAGCACTAAATATCGATAGGGTTCATCCTCTTGTCTCAACAGCAGCTTATCTGAAAGGGTTCATCCTCTCATCCTCTTTTGAAAAAGGGAGGATAAATCAGACACTACATGTGAGCTCCAGAGGATCCACATATTTCACAGTTTGCGTAAAAAGGCAGGGGTCATAACCACAACAGTCCAGGTCTGATAGTAATGCGCACCACAATCGAACAAATCTAATCTATCACATTTTACTTAAACGACCGATGTACACCAAAATGGATCTCACCCAAGATCTCTTGATCCTTAAATATATATTGTCCCGAAAGTATTTATGGGGTGGTTATTTCCAATAAAAGTATGGCACGTTTGGTATATATGGAATGTATAGACACCCAATATTACTAGATACATACTAGATTATCCGAAAAACACCCATGTTGCAAGCACCAGATAAAAGATGTCAGGTATCACTAACTGGCAACCCGACTGTTATCTGCCAGCTTATTGTATGCTAGCTTGACTGAGGGGGCGGTTGTTATTTCTTGATCAAATGGTTAGGCGGTTTTGGGAACATTGAGGGGTGCCAACATACAAAAGACCCTGCAATTAAACGACGGAAAAAGAAGTTGACAGAAAATAATGAAAAAATTACATAGGCCTCAATATGTATGGTAAATGGACAGTAAGTAACGAAAAATACATTCTTGAAAATGGAACCTCCCACAACGAAGTAAGGTGACATCCATGCATGGCGTCTAACAACAGTTTATTTATAGCTTGTAGCCATAGGAATCTTCGGGCGAATTAGATTAATTTTTGAATATGATTTTAACACATCTGTTACGTTTCATAATATTTGCGTAAAGGGATTATCATGAGAGTGAGTACATATCATCCCGAACTTACCTACAATCAGAGGATGTCGTTTGATATTCAATGGATAATAACTTACCTACAATCAGAGGATGTCGTTTGATATTCAATGGATAATAACTTACCTACAATCAGAGGATGTCGTTTGATATTCAATGGATAATAACTTACCTACAATCAGAGGATGTCGTTTGATATTCAATGGATAATAACGATTACCAACCCACCTACGATCACTTGTTTTGAAGGCATAAGAAAAAACAACTTCTTGGAATATCAATGGGACTAGTGAGAAGACTCATAACCTGATCACATTAGTACAACAATCTTTGCTTAACACAATCAGCTGCTGTATGTTAAACAATAAGCCTTTACATCAGAACAAAAATACTATAATAGTTTGATGTCTGTACAATGTTTCAAAAAGATTTCTTGAACGGATAATGAAATATGCTCCGGAAATGAAATCGGGGCAGAAGGACGGTCACCAGAAAATAAAATAATAGGCTGATGAATATAAAAGTGTTATAAACGTATCTTGAACAGTTTCTGAGACTTTAATAGGTTGATGGTTGTACAAAATTTCATGAAGATAAATTGCATGGTTTATGAGATATGCCCCGCAAACAAAATTGAACACGAAAAACTAAGTCAAATTTATTACTAAATCCCAGAAATTCTAAATTAGCAAAAGGAACAATTTCTATAATAGGTTGATGTTTGTACAAAGTTTCATAAAGATATGTTGAATGGTTTATGACATATGCTCCGGAAACGAAATTGAACACCAATGGTTTATGAGGTATGCTCCGGAAACAAAATTGAACGTCCACTCGACACAATCTAGGTTATTTTGGGACTAACGTATGGTTTAATTTTATTTTAATAATTCGCTTGCGCGTAGGGGTCTTAAGCAGTGGGAGGAAACCGGAGGATCCAGAGAAAACCCACGAGGTTGGAATGTAAGTGTAGGCCATCGAAAGTATAAAAAACGAAATGAAATATTGATCTGTATTTCAATCAGACTGAGAAATTCCTTAATAGCAAAAAGAATTGAAATGAAATGAAATGGGGTTTAACGTCCTATTGTTTTGCTCCGAACTGGGCTAATGAAGACGGGCATACGCTACGATAGAAATTTTGCCCGGACAGCGGCACTATGGCCTACTCTTATATCGAATTCCAACTGTCAAGGGATCTTTTACGTGCACGCCAATGTGTACATGGGACCACGGTTTTTTGTCTCATCCGAATGACTAGACAGCTGTCCTTGTCAGGCCCTCCATCCTGCATCACTGACAAGGGGGAACCACACCGGAATAGGTGTAATAGGTTGATGTGTGTACAAAGTTTCAAAAAGATATCTTGAACGGTTTATTAGATATGCTCCGGAAACGAACTCAGGACGGGCGGACACACGGGGCCAACTTCAATATCCCTCCTAACTTCGGTGTGGGATAATAAAGATTACCAACCTCACTTACAATCAGAGGGTGCCGATTGACAACCAGTGGCTAATAATGGCTACACCAGCTCACCTACAATTAAGGATCAGAACAGATTATCAACTCATCTACAATCAGCGGTTAATAGAAATTGCTATACATTTTACGGTGGAAGTGGACGTAAAACTCCATGAACGAACGAACGAACGAAAGCGGTGTTGGCAGCTAGAAATATCATATTTCAACACAGAAGCACTAATATTTTCCTTCTTGTTTTGATAATAGTTTGCGTTCATTGTTTTTTGGATGTAATGTGTACCTAAATATGATACATTCACTCTGGCAAAGGCGCGTACGCGACTTTCACTTGACATTAATACTGCCCCATGACTTCTTTATTGTTTTTAGTGCGGCAATTTTGTTTTCAGTAGTTTGCTAAACAACTAAAAATTAACTGGCTAAAGAATGGTAAACTTATCTTGTGGTCATACACGAAATTCGAACCCAGTCTTCCTATAGACCATTACAAATATAAAACGTATAAAGAGTGTAGAATTTTTAAAAAATTTATTTAAAGTATAGTATGCTAAGCTACAAATCAAGCAACAACTTAATAATATATTCATCTCTACCTTTTAAAGCAACGTTCTTTATTGCCAACTACCAGTTTTACCGTGCCAGTATAACCATAATAAGACACTATTGTGGGAAAAGCGCAATTAGTAACACATGAATCCAGAGGGCGTCCGACAAGCTCAATATAATGCAATATGGGCTGGGGGCTAAGTGAACGAGGTCGTTGTTGTTTATTATTTCTTCGATATTACAGTACACTTTTGTATTTGAAATAATTAGACAGTAATGCTAATATTTTGATGTTCAGTTACACTTATTACAGAAAGATGACTTGAAGAAACAAACGGTAGTCATGCAAGATACGCCCACATTATGCAAGAGATGGACAGAGAATACGCTAAAAAAAAGCAATTTTTCGTACAATCAGGGGCCATAAACTACGATTTTACGTTCAAACATGCGTCGATATCGACAGGTACCGAGATCTTTGGGATATATAAACATTTTCGTTTCAAAATCGAATAAAAGATGTGACCTCTAAAGTCTCAACAACCTTGGTATAGCATGCTTATTATACTATTTGCATAAAGGGGAGCGGCCAATTTGTCTGGTAGTCCCATTCCGATTTTCACGAAATTCAAACTCAAGTTTGTCGTAACCGCGATATATTTGAACGGTTTTTAAAAGAAACTAAAAACGCCATAAACCAGGAAGTGACGGTATATCGTAAAATAAAAGATTTTTGGGTTATAAAAATACATTTTAAGTTTCATCAAAATCCGATAAAAATTGTGATCTCTATATATCAACCTTTATTTCAAGTTTTGTCAAAATCGGATACAAGTTGTGACATGTAGAATGTCCACAAGCAAATGTGGACAGACGTCCGAACGGACAGGGGTGACGGTAAATACGTCCGCATGAAAATTTGGGCGTATAAAAAGAAAAGTGTATAATGACACCATAGTTGCATGTACTGAGAAACGATAGATAGTCACACAAACAAATATTCACCCGCCAGCATTAAGTAGTTCATTAGTTTATATAGGTGCCACAATTCATTGTTTTGAAGTTTTGATAATAATTTCTATTAATAAAATGGCCAATGGACTACTTTTTAGATGATTTTAAAATATGCGTTTTCATTGGCCACTTCCGATACACAAGTGAAAACCAGACTTAATGCTAATTTTCCATTAAATAAAATTGAGTCAGGTAAAATATAAAATATGAAACAAAAAAGGAAAACCAAATTAAAATACATCCGATTGCTAATCTAAATACACAAGCGTGATTGTAAGTTAATTAAATTAAACTACCTGGTAAAATACATTTGTTGCCAAATTCAATATTTTTTAAGCCAATGGCTGAGTCAAGCACATTTTAGTAATATTAGTAGCCCACGACAATATACCGTGTGAGATACTTTAAGCCAATATACAAATATTAGTACAGGTGCTGTTATGAATGAAACAACAACAATAATAATAATAATTATCATAATAATAATAATAATAATAATAATAACACCATAAAAACAATCTCAATGCGTAGTACGAAAACATATGAAGAGGCCCGGGGAAGAACGATCTAAATCATTTTTAAACGAACCCCAGTTAATGGCGCCATTCAGTAGCAAATTGTATAAGCTTTCTGTAGAACAATCAATTTCGGGGTATAAACGATCCATGTCACATCGATCCAAGGCCCTTCTGAAATGGCCCCCCGGACAAATACAAGTCCATCGTATTTATTTGACCTTAATCTGACTGAAAAGTGGAAGTCAGTTGTTGTACTGGTAATTATGATTCGTATTAAACATCATTTTGAAGTTGTAATTAAACCCACTCGTTGTTATTTTCGCGTCAAGCATTCTCGTCCAAAAGTCTGTTTTGCCTTTTATGCGAAAAGACAAAAATGTGACTTAGTTCGTTCATCCCCTGGACTCTTCATATATGACATGAACAAATATAATATGACATAAAAACATATAATATGACATAAAAACGTATAATACGACAAAAAACCCAAAGTAAACTAAAAGCAATAGTAGTAGTGTTAGTGAATCATTCGGTGTAGTGCTTTTGGAAAAGATGTGTTTTTGATCGAGGCATTGCGAATAGAAAGAGGGGGAGAGTTCCATAACTGAGGGGCAGAATTAGAGAAGGCACCTGGAGGAACAGTCGTGCTGGCTCAAAAAGAAGTACCCCAGCTGAAGAGCGGGTCCGCCTCTGTGGAACCAGTAGGATCGTGGAGAATTGGGGTGATGTGCTCATTCTTACGGGTGCGTGTTATGAGTCGTGCAGCAGAGTTTTGGATAGATTGGAGACGTTTAGTTATAGAGCTAGGATAGAGATCATGCAAAAGACTATTACAATGATCAAGGCGTGAGATGATGAAAGCGTAAACAATTGATTCAGTAGTGTCAGTAGATGTGCGGTCTGAAAAGCTGCGAATACGACCAATTATTGGTAGATGTGCCCAGAATCCTGGTCATGAATGTCCATTTTCTTATTGCCTTTGGAAGTCGGATAACTCAACTCGTTTATTCGGATTCTCCTCAGGAAAAGAAGATGACTGTACCATGTATCTGTTCTTTGTCCTAAATAAATAAATTAATTTAAGTCATTGTTCTGACTGAATATGAAATCACAACAATTTTAAACAATATTACAATTACAATATCTAGTTATGTTCCTTTCGCCAGCTCACTAACCTAGGTGGTCTGGGTTAGATCCCAGTGTTGGTCGAGAAAGTTCCTCTGGATTTTCCAGTGCTGTTCCCCTTATCAGTGATGCAGGGCGGAGGGTCTTGAAGGGACAAGCGTCTAACCTTTCCAATGGGACGATCACTTAGGTCCTTATAAGCGGACAAGTAACAGAACCCCTCACAGAAGGCAATATACCACTGTATTGCGGATGCCTGTGCTCGTTATCCCGGTTTGTGCAGAAAAGTAGGACGTTAAACCCCATATCATTTAATTTCCTTTCGCCAAATCAACCGATACTGGAGCATGTGTAATTTAGTGAGAGGAACCACAAACAGGTAGACTTAAAGCGGTCGTCCACTGGAGGTTAAAGTGTCGATAGATCTCACAAGATAAAACTATCAGTTGACAGTGGTGGTGCATGAGAGATGTTTGGAGTTAAACTGTTAAGAGCGTGTCCGCGAGAAAACCATGCAGAAGGTGCTAAGGCTTCAATCACAGATTTTGACCAAATTTGGTTTATAAGTTGGGATAGTCCCAAAACACATAAATGTGCAATATTAGATAAATCTTTCAATTCCTGTATGAGAAAATTGAAAAAACATTTTTCATATGGTGAAATTGCCAAAATCTGTCTTTTCTCAAACACCGAATTTGGCAAGTCCTTACACCTTTACTATACGTAGCAGAAAGACCAAACTCACACAGTTTATCGATGACTCAGTGCTGTTACCACAATATTAACTTCAGACGATTCTGGCGAACGAGATCTGTATACGGACTGGATATCAAAGCCTGTCTAAATTCCCCATTTTTCGTCACCCAAAGTTTGACGCCCTATAGCTACTTCTTTCATGGGGTGGGTTTAAAAAAATTATGCTCACGTGAACAAGCAACCTCCCAACATTTGATACAAAAAATAAAAATGACCGGAATCGACTTGACAAAAACTAGGTAAAGGAAACAATAACCCATGAAATTAACCTGTAATTTCCCTATTTTGGAGATAATTAACCGTAGTAGATAAAAAAAACCCTAACAATTTATTTTCCTTTTCATTCATATGGTGTTTACTACCAGCCCTAAAATACATTAGTATCTGTTTTATAAAAATATCTTGAAAAAAAAATACTTTCAAAGGCCTGTAATCGTTCATGGCTCATCTGGCGTCAACGGGAATTGACTTCTGCAGTTGTCCACGACCTTCCATTGGAGTTTCGACGTGCTCAATCTTAACAAACATATCCATTACTCTCAAATAGACATTATTTTAAATAAAAAAATCCAACGAAAATGAAAAATTCACCTAAAAGTGAGATTCGAACCACCAACCGCATGACTTCCCCCGACCCACCCTCTCACCGAGTTGCTTGTCCCAGGGCCCCAAGGTCCATGTCGTGGGCCCTGTTCAGGGGGTTTGCCTAGGGCCTTTCTTATTCTAAATCCGGCCCTGAAGGTGCAGCTGACGGTGCCCGAGAGCTGTAGCTACCATACTACACTGTTCAATGTCACCCACTTCGACGCAATTAGGCTTCGTTGCCGTTAATATTTAAGCTTCCACATTTCTGTATTGTAGAAATCAGTGGATGTGTCCCAAAATGAATAGTGGAAACATGCTCTGAAATTAAACATTTTGTAGCCATTTTCGGTAACTTGTTTGAAAATGAAATCTTAAAGAGACAACACAACAAATATGTTAACGCGAGAATACGACAATACCAAATATACAATAAATATAAATACACACTATAGAATACAACATGGTTCAAATAATGGCTATGGATATGATGAAAACGTATAAGCTGTATATTTTAAGTATGTTGCATTCCGGTCATTTTTTTTACACCTATGGATACTATGTGCTTAGCACTTCAAAACCATCTAAAGAAATTCTACTTGCGACCATGAAAGAAAAAGTTACAGTGTATCTTTTTCTGCACTATAAGGACAATGTGAATATGGTACCCTAGAACAAGTCCACACAAAATTAGTATGTACTGATTTTTTTTTTCAAATTAGTGCTGGGGTAGAAGTTGACCACCCGCTTTATCAGACAGGGTCAAAATTAGAAGGTTGCTATTCCACCATAGAATGCAGTCTGTGCTTAAAAAAGGTGATAAATACACATGTGAAAACCGCAATTTTACCCATAAAATGAATAATTCCTGTACAGTCCTTTAGAGCCACATCAGACTGTAACCACTTCAGCATGTTACCGCTTGCCCCTAGGGGGTGTCATACCATAAGTTTGATCAAAAACTTCCGACCCCCCATCTTAGCACTTTTTGCGGTTTTTGCATGGTCTTCTCGCGGATACACTCTTAAAAGAAACAGCAAAGCCTTTTGCAATAATTTTTCGAACGATTTTCTCATGGAACAAAAAATAATTTAATCCATTTCAAGACTATCAGAGGCTTGATCGAGAAGAATCAGGCTGCTTTCATTGTAGTCGGGACAGGAATGATCGAGAATATTTAGTTTACAGACATCGCCTGGTGTTTTAACTCGATACCAAACAATTATAAATTGGGGTTTATCCTTTAAGCAATCATAAACACTACTGTACAAACCTGTTTTTTTTACAGACGTAGTAAGTTATAAACCCAAATGTAGTTACTATGACAACAAAGACAACAACCGAGCACACAGCTATTATCAAAGTATAGTGATTGTTGTCTTCTTCATCTGACTGATCATCTTGTGACTGTCTGGTTGTGGTGGTAGTGGAATCTTGTGTCTGTTTGGCTGTCGTAGTGGTGGTGCCTTCTGACTCCGATGTCAAATTCATGTCAAATTCTTCATCTGACTGATCATCTTGTGACTGTCTGGTTGTGGTGGTAGTGGAATCTTGTGTCTGTTTGGCTGTCGTAGTGGTGGTGCCTTCTGACTCCGATGTCAAATTCATGTCAAATTCCTCATCTGACTGATCATCTTGTGACTGTCTGGTTGTAATGGTAGTGGAATCTTGTGTCTGTTTGGCTGTCATAGTGGTGGTGCCTTCTGACTCCGATGTCAAATTCATGTCTAGTGGAACTAAAATTAATGCGATAAAATATTATTGAAATCATTTGAAAATCCTAACTAGATTCTAACTAAAATCGCCAGAGCAAGAACAACCAGATAAGGATCCCATATACCTCCAAGAAATCTGACTGACCTCTATCGTTTCACAATCTTTTCAGGAGAAAATTAGGGGGGTCTACAATGCTGAAAATCAGCAGAATTCAGTCAGATAATGTGTTGTAGCTTCTGTCGCGTTAACAAGGTTTTGGGTAGCTCCATAACTGAAGTTCTGGAAAGGCCGAATATCGATAGGGTTCTTCGTCTCATGACCCCAATGCAACCCACCAACTTTGAATAAGATAGCCACAGAAATATGGCCAAACAACAGCTATGGCTCAACATCAGCTAAATAATGCTAAAGGAAAACTTGGATGTTGACAACATTTAATAAGGACATAACATAAACTGACCCATAACATATACTGTAATATTCATCTAAATCGGACAAAAAATGGTCCACATATTTTACAGTGTGCGTTAACATCAGAGACCATCCAATATATCACATTTTTGCTAAAAAGGCAGGATGGTCCGATGCACACCAAAATAGAACACCTCCAAGTTTCATTTAAACATATGGACTCTATAGGGTTGATAACCTTGGTATATGTAACTGTATGCTTTGTCAGTGTTTGTACGTAGGGGATATAAATATATATTGTAAATTTCATCAAAGTTGTACACAAATTATTGTGACCCGTAGAGTGTCTACAAAATGAAGATATAGGCGTATAAAAACCAATATGTCATACCTGAACAGCTAGATACGTCGACAGAACCAATATATTGTGTTGTCCAACCAGAAGGACATTGTTTACATTCAACAGTTCCTCGTTCATCCTGATAATAACCATGGTTACAGTCTATACACTGATTACCATTTTCATAGGTTCCTTCTGTACACACACCTGTACAAGAACAACAAAACGATTTAGAAAACACACCATAATTGCAGGATCAAAAACACGATTTCTAAATATTGTACTGTATAATCATTCTCAGTTATAAATCTATTAACTATATTCTCATAACACACAATGAGTAGGCGACACGAAAAGACGTTTTTCATATAAATGAATTCACTCGAATGACGAAATATAGTCCTGTTTTATCATGCTGTAAATTTATTTATAAAATATGTACAGTGACCCAACAGCTGTTGGTTTCGAATCAGTCTACAAGATATGAAAGAGAAAAATATATTTACCGCACACACCAGCTTGTCCAACAGATCCAGGTTGACATATTGTTTTACCATTAACATTTACAGATGTAGCTTTATAAACAACATCATTTACCGTCACTGTAAAATTCTCTGTTTGATTCTGTAACATCTGACCTGATAATTCTAATATTTCTATAGCTTCTACTATAGCTTTCAACTGTGGACTAACTGAATATATATATCAATATATGGCATTATTCAATAATTCTATAGCTTCCAAGTATGGATAAATTGAATACAGAACAAATTATGACAATACTGAATATGACATCTAGTTTACTTTTTAACTGTGGACCAACTGGAGATAAAACAAAATAGGAGATATTCATTATTTATATGGCATCTCTCTGATAAGCTGCGAGATCGAGCTTACCTTGTGGTATATATTTAGTTAATATAACAGTACTAATACTATACTTACCGGTACCATTTGTCTGATAAGTTATTAAATCTAGATCATCTTGTATATATTTAGTAGATATAATAGTACCAACAATATACTTACTGGTAACATTTGTCTAAGCTGCAAGATTGAGATCATTGTGATACATGTATATATATTTCGTTAATTCAACAATATACTTACTGGTGCGATTTGTCTGATAAGCAGCCAGACCGAGATCATCTTCTGGCAAATCTTTGGTTAATAGAATGGTAACAGCAGTATCAGCATTTCCTTGAGAACATTCTGCTATTATAACTTTATATTGACATGTATTACTTCCACCACAAGTATCTTTACGAACTTTATTGGATATCTGATCTTTGAATATCTCACTATTTTCGCATATCGCTAGAGATGGGAAGTTAACCGTTGTTTGTATTTGGAGGGATCTAGACGATGTCACCTCTGAAAATACAAAGAGATAAATTATCTTTCACAAAACTGAAAATATGGTACTAGGCCGGATGGTTGATAACTAGTGAAAAAAAAATATTATTTTACTGTAGTGTAAAGCTTAATTAAGAAAAATTTTATACATCTCATTTGTATTTAACTAGTAAACCTAAATATACTAGTTGCTCAACAAATATCTTAATGTGAAAATGTATGTAATATTTTACCATAAATATTAACTAGAATCTAATTACGAAAACATGAATAACTTGTATATATGTAATTAATATAAACTCCTAACTTCTGATTTATTGACTTTGGAAAATATATATTTTCTTATGTTTGACCCATTCGGAAATTAAGCAAATTAATTCTAAACGCGGGAGCCACGGTGGCTCAGTGGGTCAGACGTTGGCCTGCTAACCTGGAGGTCGCGTGCCCAATCCATGCCGATAAAGTTCATCTGCATTTTCCCGCGTGGTTTCCCTTTGTCAGTGGTGCAAAAGGCTTGGAAGGGATAACGTATATTCTGAACAGAACAGTAAGACCTTAAACCACGTTTTATTTCATTTCAGTTCTAAACTTAATATAGCAGAATACATAAATATAGATCGGTAGTGTGTACAGAAAATATTATGGACTGAACAATGTCCCAAAAGAGATTGATGTTCTATTTTGTCAAAACTACGATAACACCTACCTGTACATGACAATAATTTCCTCCCTGGACTCCAAACACCATCTATACAGGTGTAATTTGGGGTTTCCTCTCCATTATAAACCGTTCCTGGTCTGCAAATCATATTACAATTCAGTCTGGACGTGGTTCCAGTACATAGAGCACTGGAGCCATAAGCTCTTGATAAATCTGTAGCCTTACACTCTAGAATATATAATATGTATATTTGATTTAACACTAACACTATTTAGAACTTATGACTTGTATAATGGATTTAACACTAAAAATATTTAAAGTTTGGTAATAATATATAACACGTGCCACATATAACATCATATCAGGAGCTATACATTTTAGAAGTAATAACACGCCACATATAACGGCATACCAGGAGATATACATTATAGAAGTAATAACACGCCACATATCATATCAGGAGGTATATATTCTAGAACTAGATTAAGAGGTACACATTCTAGAGCTAATTACATGTCACATATAACATCGTATCGGGAACTATACATTATAGAAGTAATAACGCGTCACATATAGCATCATATCAGGAGCTATACATTATAGAAGTAAAAACACGTCACATATAGCATCACATCAGGAGCTATACATTATAGAAGCAATAACACGTCACATATTATAACATCGTACCAGGAGATATACATTATAGAAGTAATAACACGTAACATATAGCATCATATCAGGAGCTATACATTATAGAAGTAATAACACATCACATAACATCATGTCAGGAGCTATACATTACAGAAGTAATAACACGTCACACATAACATCATATCATGAGCTATACACACGTGTAAAACACACTATATTTAGACTTACCAGGACATTTGTCAGTATTACATGGTTTAACTTCTGTATCATCACCTTGACATGGTTCACCATCATCATCAGGTGAAGGATTATCACATAATCTATGTCTAGATGATGTACCTCCACCACACGAAGTACTACATTCACTCCATTCTGTCCAATTTCCCCATCCACCATTTACTGGTTAACAAAGTTTAATTAATGAATTATAAATTCATCCCCCAAAAATATAAAAGTGCACACTTTAACATTATAGTAATGAAAGGTTATGCGAACCTAAAGTTAAAGGCCTATATATTTTGATGATTTGTAAGGATGACTATATGGAAATGGTCCTGGTTTTATTTGGCGCTTATAATCAAAGTAAAATTCGATTATCTGATATAATTAGACTCCTTCCCAGAACACTGTAATCATAAAACGGTGATTAGATTACAATGATTACACTGCAGTCAGTATAAACCAATCTGATTAAGATATAGATCTATATTTCGATGACCTCTACTACATGAAGATATCATCAGTTGTTCAGGGAGGTTTTATAGACATTTGATTAGCCAATCAATGTTAATGTTTCTAGTGGGTTACCCACAGTTCCATTCAACTCACGCCAAGAATTCGCTATAACAGACCGTTTCATTGGCTAATTCTTAAAACCAATAGGAATGCGGGTTATATATCAAATCTTTCAGATCCCAGTGTAGTAAAGACAAGCCAAACGGAATTTTGAAGTATAAAAACGAAACTAAAGAGGATTTGTGTTGTAATTTGATTGAGTATTAACAAATGACTAGCAAAAAATGTAAAATTGTCATCTAAGTTTAATTAGACTGATGTTGAACAAAATTTGTTAGCCATGTAAAATAATCAGTGTCTGAAAACATCTCGTTCCTCATGCTGAGAACGTGGTGGCCCAGTGAGTATGACGTTGGTTCGCTAACCTGAAGGTTCCGTGTTAGATCCCAATGTTGATCAAAAACGTTTATCGGGATTTTCCGGAGTGATTCCCACTTGTAAATGGCGCAAGACGGATGGCCTGGGAAGAGACATCGTGTTATCTTTCCGATGAGGCGAAAAACGTGCACGTAAAAAAGCTCATGAAAGTTAGAATTCAAAATAAAGAGTAGGCCGAAGCAACGCTGTCCGGGCAAATTTTTCCGTGACACACTGCATGCCGTATGCCCGTCTTATATAGTCCAGTCAGTGCAGAAAAGTTGGACTTTAAACCCAATTTCATTTCATTTCCAACTAGAATGTCCGGATAAACAAGACAACCCTTGGAAATCCAGACTGAAAGCTAGCTTAGAGACAACGTTTCTGGTCATATGTTGATATAACAGGAGGGTTTAAATGACAATTGAAATAAACTTACCAATAGTGACATGACAAAGTGTTCCCTTGTATCCTTTAGGACAAGTACATGTAAATGATTTATTGGTAGAAATACTGTTACATGTAGCACCATTATTACAACCATTTGATAAACAATAATCAGGTGGTATATTACATAGATCACCAGTATATCCATCAGAACATTTACATTTAAATCCTGATAATTCATTTATACAAACATGTTTACCACAAGGTGATGATAAACATTCATCTACAGCTGTAATAAGTTAAAATAGATACATATTATATCTTTGGGTATCTGTTTGTATCATAGTTGCACCACAGTTGAAACAAACCATCACAAGGCAAGGCAATACTTAAATTGCTGTTGTTATCTGTTAGTATTATAGTCGAAACAAACCATCACAAAGCATGACATTACTTAAATTACTCTCATAATCTGTCTATACTATAGATGAAACAAATCATCACAAGTCATGACAATACTTAAATTAGATTTTATCATATGTTTATACTATAGAACCCATCACAGGGCATACTTATTCTTGAATGTTAAAGATGGGTTCCCGCGTACAAACTGGGTGATTTAATGGTATATATGGACCAAAAACATATTCAAACTAATTAATTTGTCATAATTTTGCTTCAAATATTTCTCAAACATTGTAATTGCGAAGGAATGCCCTGCTATTAAAATTCGATCAAACCAGGTCATGTTTACGTCACGTCTTGGGAGTCAGAGGAGAATTCATTTCATACATAAGACGATGTTGTCTTTAATCGCTTACTATTTATTACAAATATCGAATCCTAATTAAATTCTCGGATTATCCACCACCCGCGTTTTTTTCCGTCATTTTTATCTCAGAAAGTATTGTACGTCTGACTCTTCATAAAGTTTATCAACTTGTACATCAAGCGCTCAATGTTCGCTTGTGACCTTTGACATCATGCGTGCAAAAGTTCCTAATCGTCGGGCTGTTGATTAGGGGAACCCTTACATTTTTGTCCTGTATACGATCCATGAGTGTTTTTCGGGGAATCCAGTATTTTTCTACTAAGATTGGATATCTCTACTTTCCATATATACCAAAATTGCCATACTTTTATTGGAAATAACCACCCGATAAATACTTTTCAGGGAACCCATCTTTAAATGTCTGTTTGTATTTTAGTTGATACAAACCAAAACAAGGCATGGTAATACCTAATTGGTTTTATTAAATCTTTGTATTATTGTTGGTACAATTCACCAGGCTTAGAAGGCATTAGTTTATGTTATCTCTTTGTATATAATTTACACCCAGATTCACAATTAAAAGACATGACTGAAATTAGTTATAATATAGTTATTATTTCTTTGAATTTATGGTCAGTACAAACCATCACACAGAGAACTCTTTTAAAGTTACAATTTCATATTTTCTATGTCTTTTGCTCAATAGGTTGTCAACTCACTATTATACGATTATAGGTGACATTCTCCCACTTAAAACTCATTTACACCGGAAATAATAACACATTTACTTTCCAATTACCTCCCTTGTTTTCTATTTTCCACCATGGAGTAGCTATCTTCAAAGGTTTGAATTGGAAGTTGAAAATGATATTTTTGCCAATTTCTCAACTGGCAATAGTGAACTACAGGATTAATAGGATTATTCTTTAACAAGGTAGGACTGTTTATAGATACCATCTATTTTAGGGCTTTATTTTAATATATTTTAAAACTATAACTTAAAAATATGAAATTGTAACTTTAAGAGTTAAAAGTTTTTATTATTTTTCTATACATGGCATGTACTCACCATCACAAGTAGACGGCATGACAATAGTTAAATTAGCTTTATTATCTGTTGTCATACTGTTTAAGGAGGTAAGAACTGTCCGTGGTGTTGTCATTTCACATGTCTGAGAACTATTTTCAACAGCGGTATCATCGAATACAATTTCACTTAAATCGGCTCGTCTGATTGTCACTTCTGTAAAAAGACAATAAATTTTAATAATGCGACAAGAGTCATAATCGTTATGCGTAGAAATACATTTTTGAGGATGGGTCCCCAATCTTCCACAACCTTTACACGACACCTTTGAAACCATCTTGGATTGCACATGACACTACGACGTCATTGTGTCCATGTCCGTCACACCAAAGCCGTATACATAAAGTTGCGACAACTGTGAAGCAAGAAATCCCAAACGACATACTGAGACGCTATTTTGGGTCCAAAGTAAAATTGTACATAGTCCTATCCAGACTTTGACATTTCTTTAGAATATTGTTAATCACAAGGTCTGTCATTGAGTCAGGTGGCGTGTTTTCGATTCCCTGTCTGTACGTGACAAGGAACAATATTCCTGCCTAGCCTCGTGGGTTTTCTCCGGGTTCCCCAGTTCACTTCCACTGCTAAAGACCCTGATTGAAATAAAATTATACCATATTATTAGGTTAGTCACGAAATTACGTAGTTTGCGTCGAGTGGACGGTAAGCCCCATTTCTTTCTCTTCAGTAAACACCATTTCGCAAGTAGGAAAAAAAGCATATGCTACAAGTCCTGCGCTAAATGAACGCAAGATATCAATGATTCGGTGATTCGGCATTTATTATATTAATTTAGTATAACACAATATGAAGGGCTGGGTTTTTCAAGGTAAGCGATTTTAGCCAATTACCGCCTTAAATTTTGGTTATTAAATAACACGGTAATTAATGGGAATGTGGTACTTAATAATATAGGGCGCATAAATACAAAGATATTTGAAACTGGAATAAACAAAAATAAATTAAATAAAGATCTCTTTAAAACATAAGCTTCATGTCCGCATTAGCCTAATCAAGTTCTGTCTTCTGAAATAATTACTAACCGTTTCCCTCTGTCAGTTTTATCTCCATTGAAGCATTTTTCAAGAGATCTGATTGTAGAGAAGACACTGTTTTTGTAGATACTAATTGACCACCAAGATACACTTTTAAACTTTTGCTGGGGTTTAACCATGTTAGAGCGAAGTTGGTCCAAACACTATTTCTGGTCTGAGAGGTGACGGCAACACTATGTATATACAAAATAAAGAAGGAATTTAATTTTAAAACCGATTAAGCTATAAACATGACAATCATTATATACTTTGAATGTACCTGTTAGATCAATTAATATACAAAAGTTTCATATATTGCTAAACAAAAACACATTACATGTATATGCGTAAAATACTATAACACAACGAGATAGGTAATGGATAGCCTTCATAGGGTATATACATAAAATAAACGAAGAATTCAACTTAATTTTTCGGGAGTTTAGGGAAATCCCAACCAATTTAAGCATACTGACATTGTCACATATCATACTGCTTTTTTTATCTATAGCATAATTTGATTAATACCATATAAAGAAATATCGAGATCCAAATAATGTGACAAATCTCTTTCTTTTGAAACCGGACGAACGGACAGTACTAACACATTAAACACAGTAGTTTCTTTCAGAGAATGTTTACATATGTTAAAAAACCCAGATCCACTAGACTTACCCTTTAATATAGACACTAATCTCACTGGCGAAATTTACGAGAATTGCAGAACGTCCTTCCTTAATCAGACTGATAGTGAAATTAGACGTAAGTGATTTATATTTGAACCAAACAGAAAGGGTGAAATTGTCCATATCTGATTCTAGTGGCTTACTGGTTAACTTTATTGGTCCAGTTAATATCATATCGAAACCTAAAACAAATACATTAAATAATGCATAATACAAGGTATTTGAGGGAGTCATAATATATCAAATTCTACCATCCTTATTCTCTGTTCTTTTACAGTGCAGTTTGCAGTAGTAGAATCTGGGAGAGATTATGTATAAGATCCCATTTGAACTATCATATTTGAAATAATTGGTTATATATTTTATAAATGTTAAAAATGTAGATACTATATATGTTTTCATTGACAAACCTTTACAGTCTGTTAGAGATGTTGATCGTGTTGAACTTGATGTGTCTGCCGGACATTTCTTACAAGTTTGACTGTTTTCTGTATCTTGATACGATCCTATTTGACATGGTGAACATGGCGTTAATCCAGTTGGGGAACTCTCACCAATACCACATATAGCTAGTAAAACATAACATATCTTCATAAAATAAACATTAAACTGTTATCTCATACAACATAATAGCTAGTATAATATAACATATCATCATACACTGTGACAAAAATTTCCGTGAAAAAACGTAAAAAATTCCGGAAACAAAAATTACCAGGAAAATTTTTTCCGTATTTGTTTTTCCTGTAATTTACAGAAATTCCCTCAATTAACATAAATTCCATTTTCAAATACAGAAAAAAAAAATCCTGGTAAATTTCGTTTCCTGACCATATAGGTGATAAAAATTTCATTGAATTAACCATTGACTTTATACGCGTGCGTTAAATAGCTTTATTTAACGTCCGCTTCCACCGAAGTGATATCGCAGATAATCTTTAAACGTAACCTCTTTTCGCTAATATAAGAATCGAGAGCAAGGTATCACAAACCGCTACTCGTCAGTGGTTGGATGCTTTCAGATGTAAGTTTGCGGTATTATCAATTCGCAGGTATGTAGACCCTGCCATAGAGACAAACCGACTTACACTGGCCAACCGGTTGTACTATCCGGATTTAAGCGTGCTTGATTACCAGATATTACAACCTTAACACACGCAGGATTACAACATATTTTTACATATTTATGAAAATACTTACAATCTGATTAACGTATGATGAATAACAATAAACATTATAGATCTTATAAATAATGGAAATTAGATATACATGACAATTAATATACCAAACGTTACAAAATATGATTCTTCATATTATTGTTAATAAATTGAAATGAATACTATAACATGATGATTATTAGGAGTGATTATATATGTATACTATTACTTATCGTTGCACCGTTTATCCCGTAAAATAACAGAATTAATTCCATTACAGAACGGAATAAAACATTTTATCCCTAAATTTCACGGAACTTCCTTGTCATTCCACCGTCTATTACGTAAAATAACAGAATTAAGTCCATTATAGAAGGGAATAAAACATTTTATCCCTAAATTTCACGGAAATTTCCTGTTTAATACTGAATATTCCACAGAAATACATAAACACGTAATTTGAAGAAATAATTCACACTATTAACACAATTTCTCCAAAAAATCCATCGATTAACAGAAAAAAGGTGTTAAATTACGGAATTCGGCCACATAAAAAATGGATATTTTTTACAGTGTACAACATAGTTAGTAAGCATAACATAGTTTCATTATATTAAAGGGGCATTATAGGAGATTAGATAAAGCGTTGACAGTTGACAGCACACTACCACAAGGCAATCAGTTGAAAAATCACATAGGTATGATTTATAATAATTACACGACGAATGGTATCAATATTCACAGAGCAAAACAAATCCTAAATAGTACTCAAATGACAGCAAGTAGACCCGCAACCTGAGAGACAGACCACCATGACTGCTCGCAGAGGGAGAAGACCAGATTACAAAATGGGCACAACAAGCTTCCACAGTAAGGTATTTTTAAGAGCGGTGACTAAACCCATAAATAAAATGAGCATTATAGTACGACACATAAATCACTGATCAAAACGCCTATATCAGCGAGATTGACAGACGTTTCTCAAGTTTAATTTAAACATACCTCTGTTAACTGGGTACTTAAATTACGTCAAATGGACCTTTTTACCAACCAAAGAGGACCGCAAAGCCCTAATACATCTTTTAAATTCTAATAACCGCCATTGTAATATGCATGACCGAATATATTGTGTCTTGTAAAATATATTTAATGTCTATATTAATGGCTCTATATAACATTTTGATTATTAAGATGCGCCAGGTTTTCCTGTAATAAACCACTACTTTACTTACTTACTTGTTGAAAGTAGAATTATACTAATATTCATTAAAGGGACATAAGATACGACCTGCATTAGCCATACTCTGGGCATTTATGTTTACCAAAGAATGGATTAAAGAATTGACACAGATGTAGTAATTACAAAAATATTAAGGAATAGACCACATAATAATTATGACACAAATGTAGTATTTGTATTATAAAGATACATTAAAGGTTACTTACCTAAACAATTATTTGCGTTACGAGATCCTTCATTAATAGTTGACGTATTTTTAGGACAAGATTTACAGGACAGAGACAAGTCTTCATCCTGATAAGTTCCCTTAGGACAATAAGTACAGTTTTTGGTTGTTCTTTCATACATCATTCCAGTTGGACATCCACCTGATCAAAATAATTCAATCAATCATAAGCCAATTTCAATGTCAAGATTTCTCGCATATCAATGCCTAAAATTACACCTGCATCATTAAAACAGTTCATAATCATTTTTTTTATTTTTCTAAGGAGAAAAAGAGTAAGTTTTTTTTCAGATTACTAATACTTACGACATGAAACTGATGCGTAGTTGGAAATCTGTCCTTCTGGACATTCAAAATCTTCCCAATCAAAATTCACAGAATCATTTCTTATTGTGAACCCCGGTGCAACACTACTAAAAACGCCATTTACAACATCACGTTTAATACCATCGGCAATACTGTTAAGTTTTGCTACACTAACATTCCTGGCATTTTCTTTAGATGTCCCATCAACAGAAAATGGTATAGAAATTTTGAAAGTTAGCAATAACTGATTGGCCTCTCTCTTATACCTATGATTTTCTACATTCTGAAACGACACAATGTTAATTATGACCAGGGAGACATTATTCTCATTTGTATCATCTCCCAGCTTTGTTATGGGCGTAATATGATTTGATTAAATATTAATTCAGCTATTGTTTGAATACAGCTTCTGTAAATGAAAAAGTATTCATCTTTTAGACACCCACTTTATAATATAGCACAGTTATGCTAGAGGAAACGAATCGTTCGAGAACATTATGCAAATGAGTAACTTTTATTTGTTTCGTGGGTGAGCAAAATATAATATGAGTGATAATCATTAGTATGTTACATTATTACAAACTATTTAATTTATAATACATTAGCCTAATTAAAATCGAAACAGATAAGTAGATAACTAATACTGATTTAGACTACAGCGGTTCTTTTGTTTTTGAAAAAAAATCCACTTTAGCAGAGAGCTGTATAAACTCAGCCAACGATCAAAATATAATTATGAAAGAGCAGAATGTATCTATTCTCGGCTGATAATGAATACGGGGAACCAATTAGATACGTAGCCGATGTGATTATTCTATATGCTCCTGTATAGGAACCGAAACATAGTGCCACAGCATAGTGTTATTTATGATGTTTAAGTGAATTTATATAGCTAACAGATTTAAGTGTTATTACCCTTTTCTTTCGGCCAGATGTAGGACCGCATGTAACAACTACATTTTCTACTGTGCAATCCTCTGGAACAGGACAAGCTTGTGTCCATATAGGTGAGTTTTGTAGAGCTTGAATAAAATTGTTCTTAATAACATCAGTGCTTGTTGTACAGTCTCCATCAAAATAATAAAACTCAGAAGGAAGAACCATTCTCCTGGGTCGTCTGGCTTCTGTGAATTAAAGATGTACATTACAAATATTTGGAACCTTAATGATGCGGATAAAGCATTCAATGATTTTGGGAGATGTAAATCTTTCTTCGAGCAAAATTTTACGTCCTTAGTTAAACCCAATGCTTAGATATAATTGGTTATGTGTTCCGGTGTCGACACAGTACGCCCCCACCCCTACTTCCTACCGCCTAAATGGAAATTATACCATAATTCTTACACAAGCAAAAGTATATATTATGTTTATATACCTACATATATATAAATATCAATATCAGTATTTATCTTACCTGTACAGTCAGGAACGTTATCTGTGGGAGACCACTTTCCTGTCTGCCATCCGCAAATAAAACGGTTATTTGCGCTCATAGTTCTTGGTATATCGAAATTTGAATTACACATCATATTACAAAATGTACCAGAATCCCAACCATCACAGGCTAATGCACCATTCAATGGAGCAGTTAAATTTCTACACGGTAAAGCTGTAAAGGTTTAATAAAAGTAATGTTAAGTATATCCAATTGTTAAAATCCGCTTACAATAGCCTCCATATTGGATTCAAGATGGCCATCGTTATTTATACGTTCATTTGTAACTTTAAAAAACTATATCCTGTTAAAATTCACATGCATTACTGCCATACAACTCTTCCGATACTACATCGAGAATTAGAATAACCAACTCTTCACGATTTTATGTCACCATCTGTATAGACTAAATACATTTTGACATAATTATACCTATATAATATACAACCAGGCCCGTAACTAAATTTTCGCACCGCCCCCCCCCCCGCCCTCTTCTCGCTCCCCTGATTGCTTTGAGCTAGTTACGGCCCTGTATGCAACCGCAAGGTGTGGAATGTCCAACTTCTAAATTAACTAGGCCTACCTCTACAAAATGGCTGACTATCAAGGCTAAAATCCCACGATGTTTTAGGTGGATCAGAATCATCTTTTTCACATGTTATGTTGTTTGGTCCGACTGAAGGTAACCCAGATCTACAACCGATGGAACATTGTGATCCCAATGTATAACCGGTAGGACACGTGATTTCCATATTATCATCATTGTAGTCAGGAATCTCGCACGTTAAGACTAAAAGAAGGAATACAAATCAGAAAAAAAGGCGAATGTAAATAATTAATTGTAAGCTATAAAAGATTTATTTAGAATTTATTTAATGTTTATTTCGTTTCTTGTTTTATAAATGCAGATCATAAAACAAATTGAAATATCTTCTGGCTTGAACATAGATTTTACAGGCCTCTGGGTTACGAATCTTGGAAATGTGTACTCGCTGGTCGTTCATGTGTATACAGTACAGTGTTTCCTTTGCCGTATGTTTGATATAAATATATACATGTATTGAACCCTCTTTAAATAAAATATAATTTAGAGTACCGATACATTGAATCAGCATTCAAGTCTGCAGCGCTTAATGTCCACGTATTAATCCGATCCTAGGTTAGAATCAGAATCCACACTGCATGAAAATTATATTCAATGTATCTTATATGTAAACTTTCATTGATCTCTGTGTTAAAATTATATTTGGAATGTGTTTAACCAGCTCTATCACATATGTGATAATGACTGGCACCAATATTGTCCTTTAAATTAAGTTATTTCTGATACAAAATTTAATCATTCTAAAATAATCTTACCTTGAACTGATACAGAAAAGAAACAATAAGCTCTATTTCTATCATCATCTATAGCTTGAAATTCAATGACATGCGCGCCTTCTTCAAAACGTGACCCAGAAGGTAAGCCTTTCACTAGTGTTAGAGTTACCGTTCCTGAATTATCTGTAGCAGTTAGCGGTGGATACGTGACTTCTGCTGATGTTAAACCTGGATCTGCGTAAACCGTGATGGTTTTATCAGGACAGTTATCAAATACAGGTTCAGTATCATCTGTTAAAAAAGAATATTCGTTGTTATTGAAAAAAAAAGGTGTTAGAATTATATCAGTTATCAAATACAGGTGCCGTATCATCTGTTAAAAAGGAATATTCAGTACTTCAGATAATAATTTGAAGTGCATTCGTTGTTAATGACAAAAAAACATGTTAGAATAATATCAGGTATTCTAGAACATCAAATTGTTGTATGTAAATATAAGATAGATTAAAGGTAATTGTCCACCGACAGTAGCTACTAGATCTAACGCATTCTGTTATGAAGGGTTGCATTTGAAAGGGACACCTAAATTTGGTCAGAGTGTCCCATGTCATGATAATGTGATACAATATATAAACAGATGAAATGTCTCGTATAAGCATAATCTACTTCATGTCGGAGGAAGCGATGAGATTACAGGTAAACACTAAATGTAATATTACTTCATCGAGAAACAGTCTTCGGGATAGTGTCGCATCGCATACAGTTTCATAATAATTATACCATCACAATTTTATGTTGACTTATTGAGAGTTTCTTGTTACCGGGTTTATCTTTGAAAGTCCGGTTATAATGACAAACAGTAGGAAGATAAACCCCATTTCATTTGACATCTGCCCAACAGATGTCCTGTTCAGAACGGATTTAATTTGGTACTTAGTGGATTATGATTTTTGTAGTTGTAAACTGTTAGATGCACAGCATTGTTTTATTTTATAAATTTTCTGTATGCCCTAGATATAAAAACAGTAGTAAACATTGTGTCTCGCTTATCGAAAGAATGAATTACATATTATTATTTCACTTTGTATGCAAGCGAGCAATCTTCAGATCTGGCCTATTAATCATCACAAAGAACCTTATTTGAGCTCTACCTTCACATTGTGGTAGAGGTCCTCTCCAAGTACCCGACTCTGTACATGTTGTATATGACGCTAAAGTTGCACGGTAACCATTTTTGCATGTAGTACGGCATACACTTTTATAATTTCTACCATCAGAGCAGTCGTATTCATTCCCATTTGTCGGAGAAGTTAGTACTGGACATATCTTAGCTGAAGGTAAACAATTAACATTAATTAGTTTGTATGGATAGTACGACATGTATTGGGTTATCTCTGACACGACCAAAGCACAAGAAAAATGTTTGTTTCGCCTACTCTGACATTAGGTCGTTTACGTGAGCATGGGGGCTTTCCGTTCAACCGGAATTATTTTAGTTGTCTTCCCGACGTACTACCACTGAAAATTTCTGAGCGTATTCCAAGTTGTATATCCGAACCCGGAACGTATATAAGTATGAATGTGAATCACCTTTTTGTAACAATGACAATGGTCGTGGTATTTATCCAGATTTGGTAGTTTCTCCATATTGTTTAAGCTCCTTTTACAAATGTCATCATAACACACATTCAGAACCCAGTCTAACTTGAATGTGTTTCCCAAAGTGTACAGTATGGCTATGTATATTTAAAAATAAATTTTTGTATACCTTTACAAGTGGGGACAACATATGTTCCATCCTTTTGACATGTAACAAGCTGGCTACCTTGTAAATCATAACCGGAATCACAACTTATAGTACAGGATTTTCCCCAAATCATTTCTACACCATCACAATCTTTTCTTCCATTTCGAGGCCAGGGGACTGTCGGACACAGATGAACTGAATAAGATAAATACACATATTTATTCTATTTTCATACCACATCATAATTATTACGACTAAGCTAAATAAACGCTGATGGTAAACGCCCATGAATCACAATAGCTTAGCATTTACAAAATCACATAAATGGTTTGGTTGGTTATTTAGGGCAGTGAAAAGAATACATGCAACTTGGTGAACTTTTTTGAGAAAAGAATACTGCAGGTGAGTTTCTTCAAATCCTGGTAAAATGAGCCCTCCAGAATTCTATAATAAGATATATGTAGGTATATATTTTAGCAATTGATTTAGAACTTGATGCTTCCAACAAGTTTGATTGAACAACATGAAAGTAATATGGCACAACTTGATATCAAATTAGATCGAAATATTTGCAAGAAGTTGTTGACAGAAAGTTGGATATCCTGTTATTTGCAATTTATGCCCGTAAGAAACTCATTCATTGACGGGCGATTAGTTCGTCCAATATATAAATCCGTATTACACGACAATCCAAATAAAACTCACCAGCTACTTCAAACGTAAAGGAACAGTAATCTTTAAATCCTCTGGAGTCTGTTACAGAATACGCTATCGTATGATGACCTCGTGGAAAATATATACCGGAATATCCAGTTCCATCTATCCGTTTAAGACTAGAAAACAAACGAATCAGTTTATCTTTATAGTCTGGTTGCCAAACCCAATTTTAAGCTTTGACGTGGAAATATAGTTCATATGATGTTTTTTTGGTGGATTATATATCTTCAATGTGTGTAGATTCAGAATCTGGATGATGCAACCCTGGCACACTTGGGTAAATTTAAATATTCAAGATGGCCGCCATGAGGCATTTTCTGGTTATTTAGTGGATAAATTATGTGACAGGTTCTCCCGGACCCCTGTTTGAAGACGGGTTCTATAAGAATTCGACCCGCTAAATCCAATTAGCTTGGGTATTCCTCCTAAAAGTGATGGCTAATTCCGATAGGGAGCCAAATGCAAAATATGGGCCCATTTTTGAGGGAAGCTCATAAGTTCGATAAAAAGGTGTGTAAATATTGAAATGTAGATTTTCGTTGTCAGTTACTTTAGATATAAACACAAAAACATGACCCCATTCCTTGTCACGTACACCCGGTAAAATCGAAACCACGCCAGCTGATTCAATGACAGACCTTATGATACAGCGCGCACGTGCTAACCATTCGTCCATCCCTCCCCGACACTTAGAGTTGATTGTGTACCTTATTTGTATATTACAAACTTCGTTCTTTAGCTTTACTCATGTGTACTCACTGCAAATTATTTTGTATCTATCATCTTACATGTCAGTAGGCTTTGTTTTGTTTGGTTGTTTTGTGTGGTGTGGAGCTTAGAAGGTACTTAGCCAAAACCCATAACCCGTCGTCATTATCTCGGATGGAGTAGAAAAGTAGGATGTTAAACTCCATTTCATTTCATTTCACACTTTCTAAAGCCTTTATTCGTACCTGGTTTTAATCTTACAGATTTCAGAAAACCGTATATTGGCCAAGAATATTAAATTATGCCATGAAAACAATACCGAGAACATTCCGCTTGTAAGAATAATTTTGTTTTAAACTGGACGAAAGAGTTACCTTAGCTTTTTTCCTTTTCCATCTTTACCAGTTGGCATTGACCATGTAACTACAGAACTTGTTGAACCTTCAGATGCATATATAGGTGTTGATGGTGGTGAGCATTGTATACTTGGTGGATGATATTCTATAATATTTATACATACGAATAATTGTTCGAGCTATACGAAATACTTATAGCGAGCCTGTAGCTTCACCAGTCCAACAGTTTAAATACAAAACGCATCCAAAAGTCCAAAAACATCGTGAAAATAAAAATTATAACAAAATGTATGTTATATTTCAAATTTACAGTAGATGCTATTTGGAGAAATAAAAGAGTGGTGTCTAATTAATGAATGGGTCTGTATTTTACCAGGATAAATAACTTAGAATGATTACTTCGCAAGAAGATGCTGTCGAAAATAATCGTTCAAATAATTACCCGAAAACATATCTAATATATTGATACGATATTTATAGTAAAATCCCCAACATAATTCTATGGACAGCGGTGCTCATACCTTCTCCTCCGCCACCACCACCACCACCACCACGGCCACATAAAAAAAAACAACCGACAGCACCGACAATACTACCGACAATAAAAGCACCCACGACCAAGGCTGCAATTCTTTTCTGTCTATGAACATATAGACCTGAAATAAAAATTGCGATAACAATCACCAAACCAGAAAACAGAATTAAGGGACCAAACTGTAAAAAGGCGTGGATGACCAAACTATTAAAGAAGATTGCAGGACACATCAAGAAAGGGGGCTGTTTAAAGGGTCACAATCTATTGATCTACAACCAGTTGAACTCGAGTTGTGAAAATTTGATTTGTTGTTATAGAGTATTGCCATTGTCCTTATATTTAATGCTAAAATAATGTGATTTATCTAATATAAAAACCAAAGCAATGTTATTTATCAATAAAAATAGGAAAATAATGCCACTTTGCTTGTTTAAATTAGCCTTTCCGACACAGTCATCACAAACATCAAATAGTGTCTAGAAAAAGGAAGCATAGAGTAAATATAGTTCATAGTCGTATTTACCATCATCACAAGATGTTTCATACCATCTGTTTTCATAACAACCTTTACATACAACTGAAGAGTTGTCCATCTTCAGAGCACATTTTGTATTTTGAGGAAATGATACGAAATCATCATGTAATTCAGTGGTATTTAAAACTGTTGGTAAAGTACACCATTCTAGTATAGATCTGGTAGCTTTAAGTCGACATCCTTGGTCTCCCTGTGTTTTACTCTGAAGATCATTAATTTATTTAAAACAACATTCATGGAATATAGTTAATCAATGATATCAACAACACATTATACCCATTCATAGCTGACAATAATAACAAAGATACATATTTTCATAGCATATAGCAATAATAAGCACATATCATTGCAGATATCAATAGCACGAATACGTGATAATTGCATATCAATAACAAGAATATCAAATAACAGGCACGCATATGAAATACCCGAATCTATACCCTAACATATTAAATAAACACAATAACATAATATGGAACACAATCACTTTTTTTTTTAACGTCAATCAAGCAAAACATCTTGAATGTAGATAGAGACAGGCAGACTGGTATGAGAACCTGTAATATCCGCTTTAAAGACACGTATTTATATTAAATAAGTCGGTTGGTAGCCCCTTCCTTCGCATATTTATATCAAATTGTATAGCTTAAATACTGCAAGAGTGAAGAAAATTGAATATTATCTCAAACTATTTATCTGAAATGAATGGTTTTTCTTCTCGGGAAGAGATCTTGAATAGAACTATATGATGCGTTCCTTCTGTTAAAAAGGCCAGATACATTCATTACCGTCATATAATAACTGGGAACAGAACAAACATAAAACGAATGTAAGTAATGTAGGCGTCTTCTATAGGTGTTGTAGACTAAACATTAACCCATGTGTAAGAATGACGGGATTCAAACTTAGCCGAGGGCTAGTAACTAACCAGTCACCTCTAACGATACCTCAAGTTTAAATCTCATTCTTATGACTAATTGCCAGCGCCACAGACCTTGTCCGTCTATGGTTACCCTATTAGCCTACACCGTTCTCTAATACTCAGATATTGCGTATATTGTATTACCACATCTTCAATAATTTTATTAATTTTCAATCCTGTCACTGGGCTCAACAACAATACCAGCAAAATGGCTACTTTATACACCGACACAACCATTCCTGAAATAGAATGGATACCTTATATTTCAGTCGTAGATAAATTGGGACCGATAATTGAGCTGAATACTTAATTATCAACAGTCTTTGCATTAAGATTATTGACTTTCTTTTTGATAAAGGTTTAAAGAAAGTGCTGAACTTAGTTGGATAGAGCAAGCACTGAACAATTAAATTTACAATTTGTGGCATTTATTATGGGACTCCAAAGTGAGACTGTTCAGAAGAAACTGATCAGCGGAATAGTAGACATCATAATTGGACAAAATTATGATATAGTTCCTGGAGATGCAGTGGAGCGGATGTGAATAGTGTATAGAAGGATTTAAAAAAATGCTATCAGGAGGATTATTTTATCTGATATGCACACGGAAAAGATGTTCAAAATCCTCAGACGACAGAGAACATACTTTACGTTTATTTAAATATCAGTGATAACAATAGGGGTTGATATTCCATTTTAATAATTCTCCAAACGGCTTTAAAACATGTTTTCAGTGGTTTTGTTTCATAATATTCTATACAGGATAAAGGCATACCAGTACTCTCATAATTTCATATCTAAATGGTGATCAAAATCCACGGACTTTTAAAGTTAGGTGTTGATTTTATTGGTATGGCAAAAACAGATTTATTACAATTATTACAATGGTGGTTGAGAGAAATTTTATTACAATAGGGGTTTTACCGTATAACCCGTATTGTAATATTAACCCCTATTGTAATAAATGTGTCTAAGGACAGAGGAGGATTTAAAAATGCTATCAGGATGATTACTTTATGTGATATGCACAGACTTTTAAAGTTAGGTGTTGTTTATTCCGTGCAATGTCGCAAACTGATCAGCAGTAAATAACCCCATTTCATTTTGGTTTAATTTCATCAAGAACATCGCTACCTATGAAATTCCGTATCGTTTTATGCAACTTGAATAATATGTTGTTGGAAAAAAACTACCATAAAGTTAGTCAGATCGGTATAATGAAGGCATCTGAAATAGAAACCTCATCGCTATATATATCCACATGAACAGATTATTCCGGTCTCCTTTAAAGGCCGTTTCATCCCCACAATATGGGGTTTCTAAATTTATACCTTTGAACCATTTCATGAAAAAGTTTATCATTAAAAAATGATAAACAAATATTGTTTAGCTTATATTTGAAATAATATTTGCCAGTCATATCACATTCGATGTTGTTTTCAATTCCTCGGTTGTATTCGTGACAACCTCGTGGGGTTTCTCCGAGTCCTCGGGTTTAGAAATAATATGAAATAGAATTAAAATTTACACTGAACTAATAAAGAGGTTGGATTATACATTGTCTTAAATTAAAAATCACATGAATAGAAGTTAGAAATTACATGAATAGAAGTTAAAAATTACATAAATAGAAATTAGACGATAGTACGTTAATTTTCCCTCATGCGGAGCAAGTTAATTTGTTCTCAATATTAACATTTTTCTTCTTCAAATTAAACTCTAAAACAAATTCTAAAAAGTATATCTGGATAAAATATATTCCCTATTTAGTGCAAATGGGTATATAAAATAGTACGTGAAGGCGTACAATGAGTAAAGTCGTCCGCAAATTTGTCTTATCGGTTTTCTTTAGCGTGTAGTGCGCCCCCCCCCCCCCTCCCCAACTTACTATTAATACAGACAACATGTAATATTTACATTTAGGGCACTAGTCAGGGTAAAATGAACTGGTTGTGTAGACCTGTTCGGTGGCTAAGCCACTTGTGTACTTGGTGAGCGGGGGTTTGCCCAGAAATTGGGGGATCACGTGGCTAAGTGGGTAAGACGCTGGCTCGCTAGCCTG